TTGAAAAAAAGAAAATGATTATTTAAAAAAAGTTTTTTTAAAAACCCTTTAAAAAAACCCCCCTTTTAAGGGGTATTTTTGGGGAAAAAATTTTCCGGGTTTTTATTTAAAAAACCTCCTAAAAATGTTACCAAAATTTTTCCAACTGGCAATAGAAACTATTTGAAAAAATGCTTCAATACTGATAAAACTTGGCACATATGTTAACAGAACCATAACCTCTATAACAACATGCTCAATCTTAAATTTCCTTTTACCATGGCAACGGGGGACGTCTCGAAATTGCGAAAAATAACTATTTTGAATTTTATGTCATGCCCTTGAACACATTTTAGGTGGTAATATGCGTTGATAGTATGACCTAATGACTTAACCGTAGCTTGTTTAGCTTGAACAATCAGTTAAGTAATTGCCTCAAATTATAGTTTGACTTAGCATATTTGACCTTGAACTTGACATAGATGTGAAAATATGACATTGTCTAGCAGTCAGCGATAAATGACATATATGGTCATTCTTTTGTTTTTCCAAAATGAGTTGTTAGACGACAGCATGCATTCTCTATCATAGTTTGGGGACCTTTCTGTTGAAAATGTGTCAAGAGCTAAATCATATACATGCACAGTGCGTTAACTGCAGCCATACTCCATAGCATGCCTATTGACTAGCTCATTTTATCTGGGGTTTACTAACTGTGACGCCAGAGAATGCGTAGCCATAGAAATATCATATACAGATGCTCATTCATTGCTTACTTTTTTCTGGGGTTTCCTATTGTAAGAACAGGAAATATATTTTTAATTTTGCATATCAAACAAAAGAGAAAGAACATACAAACACTCGGCAATCGGATTTATACTCAAGGGGGGGGGGGGGGGGGGCTCGTACAAATTAGATACCTTTGTGTTTCGATGCGCATTTTATTACTTAGGCCTTACTTAAATAATATAAGTTATGAGGATTTTGCAGTTACTTTATACGATAGGATAGATTTTAAGTATGTTAAGTACAAGAGTACTCGTTATGTAACTGCCCGCCATTGAAATACTGATAAAATATCGCAATAAATCTCTATAAAACAAACAATATATATTTTAAAACTTTGAAATTTAAGTCCAAACGGAGGTCACAAAATGTGTGTCACCTTTTCAAATAATAAATATTATTAAAAGCGCTTCATATTGTTTCAAAATCAATGGTCATATTTTCGTTGCCATCTAAATCGTTTGTTTTTAATTTAACTAGTTGAATCAAAATCTTTTTTATAAAACAGGAAGTACACATTTTATCTTTATAGCAATATATTTGTACGTTATGTTATGATTAAGAACCATCTTAATTTTATGTAAAATTATGAAAATTTAATGAAGACTTAGCCGTACAACAATGGTTTACCAGCAAAATAAAACACGGCACAGGATAATTTTTGCTGTTGGAGCAATCTTACTGATTTCAGGGATTACAGGCACATTTCTCGGAGGTAAATGATTACTTGTTTTTTGGGGTTTTTTTTGTTTCTTTTTCGACGGTTATAATTGTAACTTTTTGAAATTAATTACCATCATTACTTTAAAGAAAAGCTCGTATGTTTTTGAGCCGTTGCTCAACCTCTGATTACCACGTTTTGGCATCTTGATGTACATGCGACATAAAAAACAAAATGTTTATTTCTTATGAGAATTGATAACTTTTTCAAAAATAATGCTTTAGTTTATCCTGAATTTTAGCCTTAAGTTAAAGCTTATGAATATTAAAGTGGCCAGATTCATGTTTATTTTGATGAAAAATTTAAAAATGTATTGAAGTAAAGAAAGTAATTTATACATTGCAAAACGGTACTTTCAATCCACGTATAGTACCAAAAATAGGTAAAATATTGTTACGAGCCAGGCGTAACGAGAAAGAAAAGCCAGCAAAAAACTTGTAACAATAACAAATTTATTACAGACAATTATTAAAAAAAATAAAAAAACAAATTACGTTTACAAATACCTGAAATCCAAATAAAAATGAAATCTTAAATGTCTAGTCTGATCCTGGAATGATCCTTTTTTTAATAGCACACTTAAATCCAAGTAAAATCCAAGAACAGTTTAGAATAAATTCCCACAATAAAATCCACAAGAATAATTTTAACTATTTTAAAATAATCCAAGCTCCAATAAATCACTTAATATCCAAGTTGAAAATACTCCAAATATATTGATGTCTTAAAAGGTAACTGATGACTTAAAAGATCACTGATGACTTGAAAGATAATACGAAAGAAAAATGTCTCCTATATATATTAACTAAGAAGTTTCTAGAATAGTCTTCCATTTTCTACAGTAATCATAATCTAGCAACTTCAACAATAAAGATCATTCCGGAAATTTCTATCTAAATATAATGCATGAGTTTTCTACAACAGTTAAGAAAGTTCTAGTACATACATGTAGTTTATGTTCTAAAAATAGAACAATGATAATATTGGAAATACCAACTGGTCAGATATAAATTGTATACATGTAATATGTTGCATACATAACAATATGCAAAAATAGCCCCAACTGCGTTAGGCACGCAGTAGAAATATGGTGAAAAATTACTGCAAAATCAGTCATTATTCGCACATAACATGTAAATTATCATTTGAGTCTTGAATCTTTTTACTTCTCTTAAAATCAGTACATTTTCCTCAAGTGTGAATTTTTGTTGCATATGTTGGCTCAACTGGAGGCATGTAGCTTTAAGAGTCAGATGTCAAAAATTCACACTTGAGGAAAATGTACTGATTTTAAGAGCGGAAAAGATATATACTCGCTTTGTCTATTTATATTTTATATACATGTATTCTTTTAGCTTGTCTAGATATTTTTTTTTTGATGATTGGGAAGCAAACCGCAATAAATCGAATAAGAATGTTAACAAAATTTTAGAAAATACTTTTTAAAACGAATTTTTTTGATAACAGAGACAATACTATGATATGTACGAAACTGAACAATTTAATTTTTGATGATTTTTTTATTATTATTGATAATTTCTTCAATATTATATGCTTGTGCAAATGCAGTAAATAAAGGAACACCTTTGCATACATCCGAAATAAAAGCGTTTACAGTGCATCCTTTAAATGATGCTGTCACTTGATATGACTTGGATGTATATTCATACTGGTAATACATCTTCCATATAATTATGTTCTATATATTTATATCTGCGTATCAGCAGAGTTATATAGTTTGTCATAAAATTGCATACATTATTTTTTTACAGTATACCTCACAAGAAATAACACTAATAATGAGACGAATCCACCACAGTCACAGACTCAAGGTTGTGAGCCAAAATTACATTTTCTTTTTCTATTTTCTTCTTAGTAATTTTATCTAGTGGTGTCGGGGTTTTTCATGTTCGCCATAAAAATCCATTTTCTAACAAATTTTTTCATCCTTTTTCACTTAATGTGTGATAATGAAAAAAACTAAACTGCTGTCAAATATAGTTACAGTACAGTTTAAAACAAAAAATTTTGCGTGGCTTTTTCGCAGGAGAAAAACGCACTCAAGCAAGGAGATCTCCAACGGATGCAATGCGTATAATATGCAATTAAGCACTTAAAAAAAAGCACTTAAAAAACGAAACAAATAAAAAAAAACACAAAAAAACAGCACTTGTATACCCACCGTACAGTAGGCCCTAACTTATATTGAACTAAACTATATTTTCTTTTAAGTTTTTATTAAAAGCCGCCAATTAACGTTTCATTCTATCTTTTGAATATTTGTAGGCATACACTTTTATATATTTTTTTATAAAGTACAAGGGTTATGACTCATGTAATAGTAATTGCATTTTTTTTTATTAAAATTGAAACCTTTTATTTCCCGAGAGAATTTTATTTTCGTGTATTTTTTTATCAGATACTTCCTATATATACTTAGCAACTCGGATCGAAAAGCGCATTAATTGTAGATCAAAGCAGACTTTTTTTCTGAATTTTGTATTCAGCAAGGCGTTTAAATGTAACAGTAAATACACATGTACAATGCATCATGTCCTGGAATAACAGACAGAAAAGAAAACAGTGGCATATCCAGAGACAGATAATTAAATTAATATACAACTATATATATAATAGTAAAATGATTACAAACATAGAATAATTCAATGACCTTTTTTAATTGATTTTCAGAAGAAACATGTGACGATGTTGTAATTGTCGGAGCAGGTGTTAGCGGATCTTATCTCGCCTGGAAGCTCCGAAACCAAAATTTAACTGTAACAGTATATGAGTATTCGGACAGAGTCGGTGGCCGTATGCTTTCTGTACATTTCAAGGACATTCCTGACATTAATATTGAGCTGGGAGCTATGCGATTTCTTCCAGATTGTAAGACAAACGTTACAAACATAATTATATTTTATTAACTTTTAGATGTGCAACACTGACCAATGTATGTTTTAGATAAAAGAAAATGTCATATCACTGATATTTGAGATGTACATGTATTACAAATGCTTTCATGGTGGAAATATTAAAGTACTGTTTGGGCGTAAAATTATACACTTATGTGCGCCTGTATAGAGGTTAATGATTTTTAATTAATGTCGTTGATAAGGAACACTGGACCGAACAATTTTCAATTTTTTACACTGAACCGAACGTTTTTCAACTTTTTTACACTGAATCGAGCATTTTTCAACTTTTTGAAAGCATGAAAATAAATCTTGACAGTCAATTTGCAATATAAATTACTTCATTTTATAGTGACTTAAACAAAACCTTGTTTAGATTAATCTTTTTTATAACAAAAAAAAAATGATGTTAAGTTTATTTGTGACACAAATACACATAGAACACGTGTTCATATGTATATGATGATCAGAAATGTGAACAATTTTTACACACGAGTATATCAACAATATTAGAAAATGTTGGAATCTACTCTTCTTATAAATCAATGATACTTTTTAATTCCTCAGTATTTTCAAACTATTTTGTATATATCATACAGTACATCCTTTGATGAATTCGACAGCTCATGCGCTTGGTTTACATCTAATTGACTTTAAGTCTGGAGTAGGACATAATTTAGACACACTAATGTACACTCGTGGTCAACATTTCAAGCTACTGGAGGCGACTACCAAAGGACCTTACAATCTTTTGCCAAATGAAAGACTCAAGGATGATAGGCATCTACGCTGGTATTATTCTCTTTACTTAATCTTGATTTAAAAAAGCTAAACTAAGACAGACGAACACCTGTTTTGTAACGTCAACGTCCAGCATTATTATTATTATTATTATTATTATTATTGGCAACACAATGCAGGATACAGGAAAGGTGAATTTGGCTCACCTCGGGCGTGCCAAGCCTAAAGCAATACCATTGGTCAAATCCATCTCTCCTGCCAAGCATTTTAATATACTTTGGATGAAAGTTATAAAGACACTACAAGGCTAAATGCCTTCATGAAAGGTACCTTCAGGTTCATGAAAAGTCTTTATTTAAACGTTGTCAGTTAAAGATTTTCTTTTTGTAAAAACACGTTTTCTCTGTGGAATTTTGAGAGCACGCTTCTTCTATGAAATTTGACACGAATGATTTTAATGAATGCCCGATTGCTCTACGAGGTATTCTATGATTCTGAAATAGAGAAAAACGGAATCCCTAAAGAACGCCCATAACGACAAAATTTAAAATGTTGCAAGCTCGGTTTGATTGAGCCTAGTCAAGGACGGTACTGGAAAGTGCAAGTTACCGTCCATGCACCCTTAATTAAGTTTGTTTCATGTCATTAAATGTTATATATGTATGTATGTTATATGTATGTGCATCTTTTCAACGTACATAATGCATTTATATATGTAAACGTTTTTCTTCTTGTTTACCTTTCTGACGTTAATAGATGTTTTGGAATTATTTTCTTGCTCTTCTTTTAAGGTCCATTTTTATCAACGAGACAGATTTCTTAACTGCCAAACCCGACATCCGGAACATATCATCTATGCAGTTCTTGAAAACTAAAGACGGTATTGAACTGTATAAACAAAGGTAATACACATATATAACTGGAACAGAGACTCAAAGAAGTTTACTAGTATTCCAATGCATTTGTTTCAGTAGATAAACACTTTAAAAAAGATTATTACGTTTTGTACATTTTTAATGATGGACAAGTCCATTTGAGGTATTAAGCGAGAAAAGGGCTAAAGTAAGGTTTTCTAATATCATACTCCACATATGCATCTTAAATTAATCTCATCTGTAATCCCAAACTTTATCTTTACAACCTCGCACCCAATGATATTTAGCAGAAGAAATTATGGTTTTACTTTGAGTAAGCTTCGATATATTTCGACTTGCTATGATACAAGATGAACTGTCTGTCATAATGTAGATATGATTGTTGTCCATTAATGAAAAATAAACACGAAACAGTATGTTATAACTACTTTATAATAAAAATGACGTTATTTTTGACGTATGTTTCAGTGAAGTGGTTGCTGATGCTACAATGGGTTTAAGTGAAGAAGCAACAGAGCTTCTCCGAGACACATTTGGTTTCCATGGTTATTATGGAGATATATCTGCTGCCGTTATTATACCAGGGCGAGATCCAGATGGACCAGTCAAAACATTCCCTGTCAAAACAATATATATGGGAATGGATCAAATACCTCAAAGATTAATATCTGAATTTCTCAATGCGTCGTCAAGGTAAGTGTGCGTCTATAGGCAAAAAAGTGTACACCTACAAGGTAAGCGTGCGGTTGTTAAATTAGTATTTGTCTTTCTGCAATGTCAGTGTGCACTTTCAAAATGTGTATGTATCTACCAAATACTATCATCAAATACATCCTAAAAGTTTATTATGTACGTCTGCCAAAGCCGAGTACCTGTGCTTGGCCATTGTGCACTCATATAGTAGGCGTCTATATTATCGTTATGCATCTCCAAGGTTTGGGTGGGGATTACAAACGTCTACCTAATCCGTGTGCGTCAAAGTGTTGCAAGATGCGCGATTCAAGTAAACAAAGTTAGTGGGTGTGTCTACAAGGATTGTGTGCGTTTTTAGACATTTACAGAGATTGTGTTTTAGTGGAAATCGCTAAGAAGTTTATGAATCAACAAACCTTAAATGCCCAATATGCCTCAGAAATGTTTTTTTTTTTCTAAAAGCTTATTTATTTTTGGTGTCCTGTTATAGATTCAAAAATGTTACTCATTGGTCAATTACATGAACCATCTTTTTCTACTGATGGTTTCTGGTTATTAGCAAATTCATATTGATTCGGTAATTTGTATGTAAGTCAAAATACTGATATTATGACAAAAATAATTTCACTCCCACTTCTACTTTCTTCAAGTTATAAGCATCTAACTTGGTCTTAAACGATTATTTAAATGTTTGATATGTTGCAGCAATCGCCTACAGATCAACCATCGGTTGAAAAAGATCGTGAAAAGAAAAGACGACGCTTTCAATCTAGAACTTCAGAAAACTGTTACCACCAATGGTTATACTGTAGAAACTACCGACGTAAGCAATTCATCTATCAAAAACATATATCTAAGCACTGACCGATAGATCTAGATTTCTATATGAGATTACATGTTTTCGTATCGGACATCATTATAGCAAAAGAACCATTAAATAAATGAATTCTTGAAAATCAATTATTTAATTGAAACTGTCCTAGTAAAGTCAATAAGAGAATATAACTCGTTTTAGATATTTAACTATAGGTAATGGTATGTGCACTATAAAATTTTGACTGAAAATGTACTGGATTTTTCCCATCTTTAAGGATATATCAGTGTGCGCAAAGAAAGTTGTCCTCGCAGTGCCAAGATTACCACTCGGAGAGATAGACTGGACCGGTCTACAAAGTGACGACGTAGCTGATATTATTCAGAACGCTGCACGAGACACTCCCGCTGCAAAAGTGTTTCTTGCATTCGATAAACCATGGTGGCGAGATACAAATTATGTAACAAATCATTTTTTAACCGACAGACCAAACAGGCAAACATACGATTTCGGAACTTCAGCCATATCGAACAGATCAGTTCTGCTGGCGGTTTACACAGACATGGAGGACGTGAAATTTTGGCGTGAATTACAATCGTCTGGAAATTCTTACAAAAATTGCTCATTGTCAGCATCTAGCTGCGCAAGTGAAAGGGTAATTACAATGGTACAAAAGTTTCTGGCTGAAATATATAACGTTTCTTTGAATGATATACCAGAGCCATTAGATACGGCAATATCTCTTTGGGACAAATATCCGTCCGGTGCTGCTTGGCATGTGTGGAGAAAAGGGTACATCTGGAATCAGGTTCAAGACCGAATGATACAGCCATCACCGGCAGATAACATTTATTTATCGTCTGGTACTTTTGACCCTAGAGAAAGTGACGCATGGGCCGAAAGTGCATTGAGCGCAGCTGAGAGCGTCTTCAAAAGAATTGTAAAATAGTTTAAACTTAATCATTCCATGCCATCGATAACTAAATTGGTTAAACAGACAGTAACAATTCTGAAACATCATCAGAACTGACTTGAATTATACATGTAGTTCAGCTTTACTTTCAACAAAGATTATCTGTTTTTGTAATAAAGATCTACCTGTATATTTGAAGATGACCTTCATAGTCTATATTGACATGTCCATGAGAAAAAAAAGACTAATACTAAAGACACACGTGCAAATGAAAACGTAACATTGCTTAATCATGGGCATACTTAACCTGTTCATTTGCTTGCATAGAAAAATAAATGGGAAATTGCAAAAAAGGAGTTATAGTTTTACTAATGGATTCCTTTACATTGTATAAGATGTGTTTTAAGGCTCATTTTGCGCCAGAAACGCTTTTATTTTTATTTCCCCAAAACATTTAAATTTTGATCTAATCTTATAGTTTCTAAAAAAGATATTGGCCAATTATCTGAACCATCTTTTGCTTCTGTTCTTTTTTGGCAATTAGTACAGTTATAGTAGATGAATATTTTGTGTGGAAGTCAAATACCAGTCAAAATACCACTCTGTTAACATTTCACTACTTTATTGAATCATCCAGGGATGTGGAAATATGAATTTTTGCCACTTGCCCATGAATAAGTTGGGTAGAAAATTTTACTTGTCCGCAGCTTAACTTTACTTGCCTATAAATTAACAAAAGTATTTGAAAAGTAATAGTGTTAACAGATTTCTCAATTTAAAGATTAGGTTGAATTTCTGCAGTTTGTGGAAACGTTCTACAAATTGTATAAGACAATGAAATGTATCCAATCTTTCATTTTAGTGCTTATTTAATCTGCACATACTAACTATCTATTACAGTATGCGCCAGGTGTAGGCTGCATTTTTGTTGCTCTGCAAACTTGATTGTTTTGTGAAAGTTATACTTGACTGAAAATTTTCAAAGTTTGATATATTACGTAGTTTCATTTTGTAATCACAGTGATATAAATTGCTTGTGAATTACTCTTGTGGTTTTAAAGATATTTGGAATTTAAAACTTTGATGATTCTATACATTTTAATATTTTATTTTTAAAGCATACAGCAATAATGTGTTTTAGTGAGCGAAACTCGACGAGGATTATATATACACGGTCAGACCTGTATAATATCGGGCAATTACCAAGTTCACAAAAAGGACTTAATCCTATTATTATCAACACTTTGAAAGGACTTAAGTTAATGCAATACAGAGGGAACAGAGGTGGGCAATATGGGATTAGACGAGCCTGGGATACTAACAATGGTGTGAATGTTGACAATTTACAGTTACTTCCCCAAGAAATAACAAAAGTTAATCAGCGAAGACGTATAGAAAAATCACTCAGCATGTGCAATGTGAAAAACTTAATCCGGGTAAATCTTGAACACAATACAACAGTAAAAGGCCAAACAAACATAAAAATATGTTTAATGAACACACGCTCAGTGAAAAACAAAACCCTATCCATATGTGACTTTATTCTCTCCAATGAGTTTGATATATGTGCCATAACTGAAACATGGCTACGTAGTTCCGTTGATAAGGTGTGTATCAGTGAACTTGTACCTCCTGGCTACAAAATGAAACATGTCCCGCGTGTTGGTAGGCGAGGTGGTGGTGTAGCTATCATCCATAAGGCTTCTATACAAGTCACCACTGAGTCGTCAAGTCAAAGCAAGGAATTCTCACAATTTGAGTTTATGGACTGTAATGTAGTTATTGGGCGGTACTCTATGAGGCTAGCGGTAATATACAGACCACCTCCTTCTAAACAGAACGGCTTGAATACAAACACTTTCCTTGATCATGAGTGGCCCCTTTTCTTAACTAAGTACGCTACAGTTGACAATTCTGCAATCATAGTAGGCGATCTGAACCTTCATCTAGATATACCAGACAACAACGATACGAGAAAATTTACAAGTAACCTTGATGCATGTGGTATGCATCAGCATGTACAAGAACCAACCCATGTTGCAGGTCATACATTGGACGTAGTGATATCAAGGGAAACAGACAACATTGTATCAAACATAGAGGTCGTAGATCCTGGACTCTCTGATGCTAGTGGAAATATCTTACGTGACCATTTTGCTGTTACATTTGATGTCAAAGCCTCAAAACCTGCACCGGTACGGAAATTGGTTTCTTACAGAAAACTTCGCGCAATTGACATTGATTCTTTTCGAGATGACATACGGAAAATGGAATTCTTCAACAAAGAGTGTATCCCTTCTGACATAGATGGTTTTATGATGGAGTATTCAGACAGTCTAACCTCTATTTTGGATAAACATGCTACGATCATTAACAAGAATATTACATTGAGACCTGCTTGTCCGTGGTATACAGAGCAACTCCACGAAGCCAAACATGAAAAACGTAAACTGGAACGGAAATGGCGTGAAACTAAACTTACAATAGACCATCAGATCTACAGAACACACTGTTCTAGTGTGAACAAGATGTTAAAACAAGTTCGTGTAGAATACTATACAAGTAAAATAGAGTCTTGTGGCAATGATCATAAAAGTCTATCTAAGATTACCAAAGGTCTACTTGGAGATACAAATGAAGTGATTCTACCATTTGATTCATCTTCAGAGCGCCTTGCCCAGAAATTCAGTGACTTCTTTATCGGAAAGATTGAAACAATAAGGAATAACATACGTTCTCAAACACAATCGGTACCGGATAATGTAGATATGGAATCTGAATATACGGGTGTCAAATATACTGTGTTTGCTCCAACCACAGAGCAAGAAGTGAAAGCATTGATTAAAAAATCAGCCACCAAATCCTGTGAGTTAGATCCCATTCCAACATGGCTGTTAAAAGAATGCCTAGATGAACTAACACCAGTGATAACCAGTTTTATAAACGTGTCCTTGGATGCTGCTTATGTACCAAAAATGTTCAAACACTCACGAATAAGACCACTTCTAAAGAAACCAAATTTGGATCCTAACGAACTGAAAAACTATAGGCCTGTGTCTAACTTGCCATTCCTGTCTAAAATCTTGGAAAAGGTCGTTGACGTACGACTTGAGAGCCATCTGAAGACAAATAATCTACACGAGGTCAACCAATCTGCTTATCGCAAGTTCCATTCGCCCGAGACTGCATTGTTAAAAGTTCAAAATGACATTCTACGGTCTTTGGATAATAACAATGTGACTATTCTCGTGATGCTTGATTTGTCTGCTGCTTTTGATACAATTGATCACGGAACGCTCCTTCGCCGCCTTGAACGACACTTTGGAATTACAGGCAAGCCACTCGCATGGATGACGTCATACCTGACCGACCGATACCAGACTGTATGCATAAACAACAAACTATCACAGCCAGTCCACATGGAGTACAGTGTACCTCAAGGGTCTGTCCTGGGACCCAAGAGCTATGTGATGTATACGAAACCTGTCGGAGAAATCTGCCGTAAACATGATCTAAACAACCATTTCTTCGCAGATGACTCACAACTCTATCTATCCTTCAAACCAGTGACTAATATTTCAATTCAAGAAAATATAAACCGTATTGAAAGATGTCTTGAAGATATTGTAAGTTGGATGAATGCCAACATGCTGAAGCTAAACGGCGATAAAACAGAGTTGATCATCTTCTCATCTGAACATAACGCACAACCTGTTTCAGATGTTACAGTAACAGTCGACGGTTCGAAAATAAGCCAATCATCTAGTGTGCGCAATCTTGGTGCATTTCTTGACTCGAACATGATGATGGAACAACATGTAAATAATGTCTGTAGGAACTGTTATGCACAATTAAGACAAATCGGTCACATCAGACCCTATCTTACTGTTAAAGCAACCAAATCTCTAGTAAATTCACTTGTTACTTCTAGGTTAGACTACTGTAATGCACTGTTATATGGAGTCTCTAAGCAGTCAATGATCAAGTTACAACATGTTCAAAATACAGCAGCTAGAATTGTGACCAAAACACTCAAATATGACCACATAACACCTATCTTACGTGAACTTCACTGGCTTCCGGTAGAGTATCGGGTCGAATATAAAATTTTGACTTATACATATAAATCCCTCATCGATCAATCACCAGCCTATATAAAAGACATGATAGACGTTTACATCCCAGTCAGAAATCTGAGGTCCCAGAATAACTCAATGACATTAGTTGTGCCTAAATCTCGGACAGTACGATATGGTAACAGGTGCTTCCAGACAGCCGCAGCGAAATTATGGAACGCGTTACCACCTGACATTAGAGACTGTAATACCTTGCCATGTTTTAAGAGAGCTCTCAAAACACATTATTTCATAAAGTTCTATGGACGTTAGTTCATAAATCATGTACTACTTTTGCTATATTATCTCAAAACACATTATTTCATAAAGTTCTATGGACGTTAGTTCATAAATCATGTACTACTTTTGCTATATTATCAGTGTTAATCTTAATTGTGCCTTGATTTTAAACTAAATGTGTCTGTATTTCTTACCATCCTTTACTGGTTTTAGATTATCATTATTGTTTAATAGGTTTACTTAATTTATGTTGTACATTATGTCTTATATATATATGATTATGTTTTATCGGATTTATGTAAAGCACTCTTGAACATTTATTATTTATGAAAAGAGTGCTATAGAAATGTGGTATATAATAATAATAATAATAAAAAATGAATGTTCCTCATAGATAACGGGTAGAATGCAGTATTTTATATCTTCTTCTGTCTCAGATTTTCTCTTGTCCACGGACAAGTTCAGTAGAAAAATCTTCTTGTCCGTAAGGACAATTTCCGAGTCGGACAAGTTGGGCATAGGAATTCCTCAATAGTCAATGACAAATAATTTCAAATTCAGTGCTACTTTCTTCTGGTGCAAACATGCTCTGAAATGATTGTTTAACGTTATAAATTTCATACTAATGTAATATTTTTTCGTTTCTGAAGCATAATGTGTATTTTAAGACTAAAGTCCCTAACACTTGCTTCTTTCATGCCTTTCACTTGAGTATAGTCAGTTTTACCCGAGCCTCGCAAAAAAACAGCTGGAAAGGAATTGAATTAAAAAAAGTGAATTAAAAAAAAAAACAAAGTTAGAAAAGATTTTATTTGCTAAAATATATTTTCTCTGATTGTATATATATTTACAAAAGACGTTTATTAATAAAAAAAACAACAAGAAAGTAACAAAATTACATGACTAGTTCTATAAGAATGTAAGTTTAAAAGACTGGTCTGTAAACATCTGTATATATTTTTTCTTGTCAATTCAAAAGTTTCTAAAAATAGGAAAACCCGCTTAACCTTCAAAGCATATAAACTGTAGGTTGTATGAGTATACTTATTTATATATTAAATTAAAGACGGCCTGACATTAAATGTCTAATTGATATACCAATTGTAAAAAAAATTAAAGGAATAAAATAAGTGATATGTATACAAACGTGATATCTATTGCAAGTCTATAGAGTATTTTGAACTGAGCATGTAAAATAAAAATATGAAAACAAAATTGCATTTTAATTGCATTGAGTAAAATAGCAAGTACTGAAAGCCCATTAAACCACATGAGAGATTTACCACATCAAAACTTGGATTACAATTCATACATGCCATAACGCCCGGGATTGTCCCGGATATAAGTTTTCTGTCCCGGTGATGTCCCGGAGATGATTTATTCAATAATTACATTTAAAATCTTAAAAGAAGAGATGATTTATTCAATAATTACATTTAAAATCTTAAAAGAAACCCACAAAGTTTCTCCTTCTCCTTTGCTACTGTATATAAAAAAATATTTTAAAAAAGGTCTACGTAATTACAGCTTGTAAATTGAGTACATCAAGAAGCTTAACTACACATATGCTTTTTATAGGCTTTCCAGTACATAAAACTACACATCTGAATAAAAAAATGAGAAAAAGAATTGCATTGTTTAAAATGGTCATATTCTAATTCAAGTTGGATTTCAACAAACTATATACAATAGACAATGTACATCTGACATGAATAGTACTGCTCAACAGTACACTTGAATACACATTAAAATAGTCCAACATTTTTTGAGGAAATGCTTAATATAATCTCCATAATTGAATGGAGAATTGATGATCCTCGCAAGTGTTGCGCTCTATTATCTGTATAAATCAAATGTCTGTAAAAAATTATACATTTTACAATCTTGTTGAGTAGGAACCTTCATCGTCATCATCATCATTAAATGTGTTCTTCGCCGGAAGTGCGTATGGGTTGTCGTATGCTACTGATGATCTCCCTTTGCCTTTGTCATCGGTAAGGGTTAGTGTGGGTTTTACGTAACCATAGCTTGGATTTGTAAACTGTCCACCACTGACAGAACTATCATTATAACTGTCTCTATCACTGCTTGTGGAATTCGTGTCCAACATTTCAACTGTAGCACCGTCTGTCTGCTCCCGCGCAAAATTCAAGAAAATCTGGAAAAAATAATTTTGATATGTCTTCAATGTTTTATCATTAACAATAGTTCAATCAATTAAATAACCCCATCATAAATTATTGTGGTATTTATGGGCCATATCTCATGGTATTTTGGACAGTATTTATAGAAGTCCTACGTGAAGTATCAAGATGTAAACAGGGGCATTTTTTTTCAAACTTTAAAAATTATACAGAGATTCTTTTTTTCTAGACTAGATACTAACATTGTTACAAATGCATATACATGTTTTGCCATACTCCTTAGACAATGCAAGAAAATTATGTGATGGATCTCTTCGGGACAGAGATTTGAGTTGTCACTCTATGTACAGAGAGCTTGTCAGACTGTTTACAGAGGGCAACTCTGCAGAGGATGCTCTGTATTAAATTATGATCATTAAAAAAGTAAACATGTTCTGTGACCCTTAGCCTTCTGTTGGCAATTGAATCCACCAATGCCATCTGATCATGGTCTACACTGTCTGCTATTTGGTCAGTACTTATTTTGAAACTGTCCTTAAAAATGATGAATGTTTTTTGTCTAGCTTGAAATATGGACAATTCCTTTAAGATACAAATGTTTTTAGCATGATAATGTTAATGGTTAAAACTGATAATGTAACATAAAATAGTGGCCACTTACTGTGTCTAGTGTGGTTTGTGACACTGTATAATACAGGATATTGAGGTTAGCTTTCTCTCTCTCCAGAATTCCAAACATGTCGGCTATATTCAATGATTCTCTTGGAATATCTAGTTGTACAACATTCACATGTTGATCCTGTCAAAATAGTTATAATATGTTAATATCACTTTTACATCATAATATGCACTTATTTTCTTAATTTACACTATAAAAAAAGAAATTAAAATCTAGAAATGTGTCCATGGTACACAGAAGCGCCCACATTTCGTTCTGTAGGGTCAGTCTATGTAGGCAGACAATCTGACTGATGAATGGACAGGCAAATTCTATATGCCCCACCCCCTATCACCTCTAAGTAGAGGCATATGATTATTTTATAAAGTGATAAATAATCTACTTTAACACATTAGTATTGCTTAAGAAGTTGTTTGATATGCATAGTTAATAAATCTAAGGCTTATTTAGATAAAACAATAATTAATAAAATAATAACTGTTCAAAGGAAATTAATAAAACATTATTATAACAGTACTTACAGTGACAGAGGCTCTGGGGAAGTATTTTTGTATTAGTTCATTTATTCTTGACAATGTATCTGAGAGACCGGATACATATAATGTCACTGTATAACCATCTCCATATCTGAAACAATATAATACATTAATGTAATGTCAATGAATTTTAATTGTATAAAATCTTACGACTTAATAACACAACTTTTAGCGGTACAAAAAATGTCAGAAATTTCAATATTACTGGTGTCCAATTTAGTTAAGTATACATTTTTGAAAAATGAATATGAACTGGGTTTCATGTCAAAATGACACTGTACATAAGACTTTCAAGCTTTACCGTGGACAAATTATTGTGACTCTTCATATGAAATCATCCAAAGTTCCTAGATGGATTTGAACCTACAGCAGTGAGTAGTAAGAGACTCAAGGTCAATGACCTTAACCACTAAGCTTCATAGGCCCATTGCAAGATGTAAAATGTAACAAAAGAACTACTTAAATAAGTTTCTCAAGTTGCTTCAATATACATGTATCTTCATTTTTTTATATTAACATATTGGCCAATACTTCTAACTAAAAGTTACATAAAATTACTTACTTGTTAAATATTACATTTATTTAACCAAATGATAATTACAATACATAGCTACTTAAATCTTTACATATACATGTATAATCTAAAAAAAACACACACAACATAATAAACACTTCATTTACTTTATTTACAAAAACACTTACTTTTGTTTAAGATGTTGTGATGTACCAAGACATTTGAATTCTCCATTCACCATGATTCCAATACGATCACATAAGATATCACACTCTTCCAAACTATAACAAAATATTACAGACACATAAAATTTAACATTCATAAATTACTGTATCTACTTAAAACTTGTTCTATATTAAATAATACAATGCTAAATAACCATAATGGACTGTTCTTGTTTTGAATTTGGACTAGTCCATTGTTAATAGGAGGGGTGCTACAATTGTGCAGCCAACAGTACAATCTCCCATGCAATGTTAGGCCTGGCCTGACTCTATACTGGTGGCAAGATATTTTTATCAGGGTATGTTGAAAACCAGAATGGTAATATTTGGATCATTGAACATATGAATCTTCAAAATATGTAATTAACAATATATACTAGTGACTTTTAATTATTTGAATAAAAATATTCTAAAAGGATTTTTTTGAGATATCAAACTAACAGATAACTGGTAATCTGAAATAAGTATATCAAATCTAAAATAGAAACAGAAAATTTACTCACAACTAGAAAGATAAAAAAAAAAAAACGTGAAAAAATCATATTAATATTTATAGAACAAAATTCACCTGTGTGAGGTCAGAATTATTGCCTGTCCATTCTTTTTGGCTTCTAGTAAACAATTCCACACAAGACGTTTGGCTTTAGGATCCATACCACTTGTTGGCTCATCCTATATAAATGAAAAGAAAATTTTTGATTACTTGACATAATAACAATTCAATACCTATTATATCTCTTATGCAGATTTCTTTACTTATACAGAACTTATTTTGTAATGTATTCAACTGGAATCTCTTGATACTTTTGATTTTCAAATAGAAAATTGCTGCTTTGAAAGAAACAAATAGATAAAACCATCAAATAGTGATATACCCTCAACAAATTGTAAGAATTATTTTGTAAATGAGCAAAATCTTAAAGTACTTAAAATAACATGGTTGTAAGTCCTTAAACCAAAGTGCATTGCCTTACTTTTGAGTACAGCAGGTGTGTAGATTCCATTTTATTATTAAATAATTCTTTAAATACAGATAGAGGACTTGGTTAAGGTTTCTGCTTTTAACCAAAGGTCATAAGTTTGAGCCCTACTGGGGTCACAATAATGGTACCTTATATGACACCAGCGGTTTTTAGCTTGAGATCAGGTCCAAAAGATCTTCAAGATTTCATTGTGAATATGTTATAATAAACAAGTTATATTGCTGATAAACAAACCAAATACATTTATACTCAAGCCAAACTTACTAGTAAAACAACAGCTGGATCTCCAAGCAGGGCCACAGCTAGGGACAATTTCCTCTTCATACCTCCACTACATGATTTCACTAACTTGTTCTTTATCTTATGCAGGTCTAGTTTACTCATCACTTTATCTAGGGCCTGTAATACAAAACAACAAAAATTAATATATAGTCATACATGTATATCAGGGCTTGCTGATCATATAAAATTAACAATAATAGAACTTTAGTCATTATGCTTTTAACAAATCGTACATCAATCATTGTAGATGGAATGACTTGGTAAAATAATCATGTCTTTATTATAAATAGTGTCCTTATTATAGTGTCCATACACTGGGAGAATATTAGCAATTAATTAATCATTTTATATCTTAAACTGGGAAACTTGAGTTCTTTCTCATTATGTAGTTAAACAGAAATCTATTTGTAAAATGTAAATAAGTTTATTTATGTTATTCAGTGACCATGGAATTAGATTGAGAGAATACATAACACATTCAGTTAACCTTAAAGATGATTAACTGGAAAAAAAATCATTCGGCATACAAATTAACTCTGGGTAATCTTATAAACAATGCTGAGAAAATAAGGCAAATTAATCTAAATTTACATCCTCTGAACTTTACATACCTGTTTTCTGGCCGTGCCATCTATACCCTTCAAGCTAGCATGGAAGTTCAGTGTGTTTGTTATGCTAAGATAGGGGTCAAGAGCATCCACCTGTGGACAATATCCCATATTTTGTCCAACTGTTGATGACCCTGGTTCAATTCTATAAGTAAACATAATCTTATATGTTAGATTGTTATTAAAATAACTGCATTTTTAAAAAATAAAATTTACAGAGATATAAGTACTCAAAGAATTCAACAGGTATGAGTGGAATGTACATGTACAAGACAATGGTTCACAGGTTCTTTCTTAATATGATCTCATTTAGTTTAATTGAGACATAGACAAATACCTTATGAGAAAAGAGAAACAGTCATCAGGAACATACATCTTTACCTAATTTCTAATACTAGTACATAACCATAATTATCAGTGTTTGTTTTCCAAACAACAAACATACACACATAAATGAAAGTCAAACAGGATGAGGTATTGAAAAAGCTAATTAGAATTTCCTCTACATAATGGCTAATTGACCTGTCCTGTTTAAAGTGCATCACAAAAGAACTTTTTCTTGAAAAGAAAATTACAACGAAAAAATAACCTGAAATATTTTCAGGTAAATTACCTGTGTCCGAGAATATAACAATGACCATATGATGAGTTTGAAACACCTGTAAGAACGTTAAATGTACTTGTTTTACCAGCTCCATTTACACCCAATAAACCAAAGCACTGAAAGAAACCCAAAGAAATTTATATTCCTTATTTGTAAAATGTCAACAAAAATAAACGTTTTAATTTGACATTTTCAAAGCTCATATGTAAACAAGAAACACATCAGTGATTCTTCAACTGTAGAATTCATGTTTTTACTTTTAAAGACAGCTGATTCGAAGGCAGTAAACTTATCTAAGTTATCATTTCCCAAAGAAAATTTACAAAAATAAATTAAAAGATTATTCTTTTGTTTTTTTTTTTTACTTTCAGTGAGCCCACTTAACTTATTTAAGATATCATTTCTGGAAGAAATATAACATACGAAAGTCCTTGTTGTAAAAAATCTTAAAAATAAACCTTCAAAATGTAATCGTATACTCATTGTATGAAAACTCACCTGCCCAGATGGAACACCAAAGCTTAAGCCGTTAACAGCATGGACTTCCTTACTACTTTCACTGTAGATCTGAAAACATTTAATATTTATGGAACATTTAAATATTAAGATTAAATTACAATCTTAAGCTATGAAGAAAGCCAATGTAAAAATGCATTTTTAAAAGTAAGAAGACACTAAGAAAGATATTGAAGATTTTATCAATAATAAAATTAACCATTAATTGAATAAAGTAAATAAAGTAAAAAATAATTATTCAATGAATACAATGTATATAATGTGTACAAAACCATTAATCTTTATACAGATGCAACTAAAGGACTTCAATTAATGCTATTTTTTGCCAAATTGACTTCAAATAATTTTTCAAGACAAATATCAAATGAAATTTCTAAGACAGAGAAAGTTTTTTTTTAAATTTTGTTTGTTTAGCCCTAATCTTGCTAGAACCAAAAGTAATTAGCCTTTGGAACCAGTACAGCACCAGGCAAGTCATATGACATGACTCTATCCCGTTTGCCATCTAACTTAGATACTCAAAAACTGAAAATGGACATTGCCAAATTTGGAATCTTGCACAATAATGGTAAGGGCTAAACAAATTTCATGAATCAATTTACCTTGTGAAGATTCCTGACCACCACAGCATCTGACCGACAATCTCCGGTATCAATTCTCCGCCTCTCAGCTGTGACATCATAGTCTTCACTGTTACTCTCCTTTACACTACACTCATATGTCCTGGAAAATTAATGCAGAATTTACGTAGCATTATGTTATATTTTACTAAAAAATTTACATAACTGATGCTGTAAATATATATACAGTCCAACCCCGTTTATTCGATATGCCTGGGACAAAATATTTCTTTCGAATAATCGATGGGTTCGAAAAATCGAAATCGGAATATTGTGATAGACGAAAACTACTCCACTTTGACCAAACATCGCAAATCTACCGTTGACAACACACTTGCTTCCTGTAATCAATTGAGAAAAATAAATATTATAGAAAAGATGGGTAAAAATTATTGACATATATTGTTTATATAGAGATATATGTATCGTTTTGTTTCGCGCAAAGCATTGGTTTCTACGGTTTTTACAGCTTAACTCTTGTATTTTCAATTGTTATAAATTAAGGCTCCATGTAGCGTTACAATTAATGAAAAAAAATGTTTTGGATGTTTTGACAAATTCACATATACAGAATGTATGAAAATTATTGCTGTCATCTTCAACAAAAGTTATTATCATGATTGTCTAATTACACGCATGACTGTGGATATTTTTCACAAGTCGACTGGTCAGCGAGTGGATCTGCGCCAATTAGTCTGGCCTCGAATAAAAATTAGGCTGGCTTTGAATAATAGGTGTGAAATTCTTTCATAATTGTATAATCGGGACCGAAATTTTACTTAAAAAAATAGGAGGTATTCGGACAATGCATTTCGAATAATACTTTCGTATTTATATTGTTTATATAGAGATAAAAACGGGAACGCCGATCTACTTCGGATAATGCCGGGTATTCGAATAAAGGGTTGTCGAATAACCGGGGTCGAACTGTATTGACCAAACCCTAGAAAACATAGAACTAAAAGACAAGAAAACTTTAAAATTCATCATTTTTTGGTATTTCAGTACATGTATAATGTCTGAAATAATTCAGAACAAGTCACAAAGGTTGCAATTACTTTTGTATCAATTTGAAAGTCAAAGATACCATACAAATTCTTACTTACAAACATATTAACACATTTTCTAGTAAATAATTTACAAGTAAGGAAATTGCAACTTTTAATTTTTGTTGTTTAAGAAACAGAACAAATGATAAAAGACAATTTATTCATTATCCTTATTCATTGATTGCCTAAATCAGGTAACTTTAGACATATTTCAAAAATCAATTTTATGGCTTTACCAAAAAGAAGAAGACAGCTTTTGCAGAATCATATCAAAACTATCCAACTGTAATAAGATAAAGCAACAGTCACATGTCTTGCACAACTAAACCTACCTCTTACAGCAAAACCTCATGTCCAACCAGATGGTCAGTATGAAAAAGATGCAACCTTCTACCCCCATTGCGAACATGTGCCAACCAATCATATCAAAGGTGAAGGGATTCTCATATACATCTGTATTAAATCTCGCATATATGACAGTTTTGATTTGGTTATCAATCAAGTCAAGGAGGCCGCCACCGAGGGCATATGGCGGGAAAACCAGGAAGACGTATCTCATTGCATCATATGCATCCTTCATTCTCTGTAAAAAATATATGATAAAAAATAAAAAAAGCCTTATCATTTATACAAGTGTTATAGGACCTTAAAATTTTATGAAAATTCTCGATGATGTCAGCAGTTGACAAGAAAAGCATAATTACTGCCTGAGCATATCAATTAGTACTCTTACGTGAGTTGTCATTTGATATAAACTTTTATGAAAAGAGGTAGGAAAAATGTTATGAGCCTCTGGCAAATAATTTGAGGGGACATCCAAGTAGAACTAACAATGTTCTGTAAGCTAGCTCTATAGTTTCCTCACATAAAAGAACTCAAGGCCCCTGGCTGAGGATTCAAACTCACACCAGTGAGGAGCAGATAGGTTGAGTTAAGGACCTAAACCATTCAGCAACAGATGCTGCTGAATATAATATTCGATAAAAATAAAACAGCAAAACATAAAACAGTACAGCATGGAACAAAATAACACTACACAGCACTGTACATTACAGCACAGTAAATCACAGTACAACATGGTGCAGTACTAAACAGCGGAGACGGTACTACATAGATATGTACACATCTGCTCAGCAGTATACAATACTGTACAAAGCATAGTTCTGAATAATAAAATCAATGTAAAACACAGTCATTATATTAATTATTAATTATATCTTACCTTGTTATCACTTCCAGATGTAAAATAGTTGAAGGAGAATACCATAAGAATACAGAAAATTCCCACAAACAAAAGGCTACAGAAAACCGTGAAGAAAGCTGTTCCGGAATTCTGGAATCGCTTCACAAGAAAGTATGCAAACGTAATGGTCGCCCATCTGTAAATGGAAGCGAAAAAAAATTAGAAATACATAATTTTACAAAAGTACACATTAGTAATCATTATTTTTGTCGAAAGTCACACAGTGTTGATATAAGTACATGATCTGTAATACAACTAGGAAATATCACTATAATGAGGTACACTGGTACATAGGTGAGTACAAAACTGAAATCTATCTGACGGGAACTCGGCTGATAAAGCTATTTTGAACAAATCTAACACCAATGTTCAACTAGTGGGTAGCTAGCAAATAAAGTCAATAATATATTTTGGATGAATTTCGTTCATTCTAGAATACAGTTATTTGAATCAAAGAACATTAAAAACAAATGAAAATATTTCCGATCAGAGCTGCTTACCCATACAATAGTAACAGGCATACAGTTGCTTCAAGATTCTGTTTGTCCCAGAATGAGCCTGGTTTGAAAATTAGTAGAATAATCACTGAAAATCCAACAGCAACTCCGAGCACAAGCTGTAAAATATCAAATAAGGGTATAATGAACTTTAATTATGTTGTATGTCTAAATAAAATAGTTGCAGAATAAAACATTATGAATAAGTGAATAAATTTACATCATTTAACAAATAATAAAGTCCATTTCTACAAGAATCTGACAAGAAAAAAGAAAATGAGGTTTGAAACAAAGAAACACCTAAACAAGTGGCTGGTCTGTATTAATTCTAACTGAATTTGAATTTAATTGTGATCACCCTATGTCCGAGGAGAAATGTTTAAAGTTGAATAATCTCAGTAGTAAAAAACTTAAACTTAGCATGGGATTCCGTATTATTGACGCACTTAACGTTTTCTGTATGTCTGTATTGAATTTAATTGGTGTTTTTAATGATGAATATTGTGTGTAAAGCAGAATAAATTCAACTAATCATTACATTTTTAGCTCAACTATTCGAAGAATATGAGAGCTATTGTAGTCGCCCCGGCGTCGGCGTCGGCGTCAGCGTCCGCATCCGCGTCTGCGTTGGTTAAAGTTTTTTGTAAAGTCAAATATCTCAATCATTACTTGAGATATTCAATTGAAACTTACAATACTTATTTATAGTAACAAGGTACATCATATTGACAAGTTGGATAACTCTGCCTACAATATTGACAGAATTATGCCCCTTTTTAACTTAGAAATTTTGGTTAAAGTTTTCTGAAAAGTCAAATATCTCAATAATTACTTGAGATATTCAATTGAAACTTACAATACTTATTTATAGTAACAAGGTATATCAGATTGACAAGTTAGATAACTCTGCCTACAATATTGACAGAATTATGCCCCTTTTTAACTTAAAAATTTTGGTTAAAGTTTTTTGTAAAGTCAAATATCTCAATTATTGCTTGAGATATTCAATTGAAACTTACAATACTTATTTATAGTAACAAGGTACATCAGATTGACAAGTTGGATAACTCTACCTACAATATTGACAGAATTATGCCCCTTTGGAACTTAGAAATTTTGGATAAAGTTTTTTTGTAAAGTCAAATATCACAATTACTGCTTGAGATATTCAAATGAAATTTAAAATACTTTTTTATAGTAACAATGTACATCAGTTTGCAAAATTGCATAACTCTGCCTGCAAAATTTGAAGAATTATTTGCCCCTTTGAAACTTAGAAATTTTGGTTAAAGGTTAAAGGTCTTCAAAGATATTTACTTGATACTTTACACATGCACTTAGGGTCATAATTGGAGGGTCATAATTGTATGTCACTGACCAAGTTCCATAACTCTATCTTGCATTAAGGCTGATTCATATCCCCTTTTCTACTTAGTCTCTTGGTTAATGTTTACATGCAAGTTTTACATATCTCAATAACTATTAAAGATATTTATTTAAAACTTCACATATGCATTTAAGGTCATAATTGTAGGTCAATGACAAAGATCCATAGTTCTATCTTGCATTTAGGCTGATTTTTCTCCCCTTTTTCAACTTAGAAATTCATGGTAAAGTTTTGCTTGTAAGCTGTTACCTCAATTACTACTGAAGGGTTTGTGCCCTTTTTTGGGACAATTTTATGCATTCATAATAATAAAGCAGTGATTAACTTGATAAAACATCTTAATTAGAAGCCTATGTATTTTTTCTGTCAAATTTATGTTTTCATAGGTAATTAGTATTATTATACTCAATTAAACAACCTTGTGACATTACCTTCCGAATAGTCAAGCCAATACTGTATAATTAGACTCTCTCTAAGGCCTATTACATGAAATTATAAAAAAAAATTAGACCTTTTATGATCTTAAAAAATTTAACATTATCAAGGCTCTTTTACTATCAAGCACTTAGAATAGTCGAGCATGCTGTCATACCGACAGCTCTTGTTTATTGAATGAGGTCAAAGATTTTTAAACTCAACCTCAATGACTGCACATAAAAGAATACTGAGAGTACGTTCGTAATAGAGTTGCGCAGATAATACATAGATATACATGTATATTACAAAATCTTACCAAGTCCCATATTAATGACGACATCCAGTATGTGAACGAGCTGATACCTCCTATAAACTGCATGTGTTTCTCCTTGTTGATATTTTCATTAACCGAGTACAATAACACTCCGACCGGAATGAATGTAAATGCAACCAGAATAATCACTGCAATACCCATGTCAGCCGCATGTTGTAATCTGAAATATTCAGTTTAAACTTGGTATTTGATTCATGTTTAGGTTATACAGTCACACTTGAGCTAATTGTCATCCCTGAAAAGCTGTTGTCTGCTAAAAACAGACATGTTTCTTCCCCCTCATTACCCACCCCCTTTCTTCCCTGCCCTCTATAAAGATATGAAATCCCTATCTTTTTAAAGCATGGTATCAGTAACCATTTAATAGTGTTTCTAAACTCTAATCCTACCCGTTACTATGGTTAATGTATAATTATTGTCAACTTTTAAAAGGAAGAAAATACAACTATTATAATTATGGTATGTAATACACTAGTTTCTATGTCAAGGACTGAATATTTTCGTAAATAACTTAAAAACAAGCTTTTAAACAATCTGAAACAATCAGTGACGGGAATGTTGCTATAGTAACACTATTACACAATCATCACAATACTTACATGGAAGTTTTCGACAGACGCTCTCTACCAAACATAAATGGATGATTGTATGCACTGATTCCTAAAACAGAAATGTACATTGAATTAGTAGGCCTATAATGCATGTATAATCGTAACTGTATATTGAATGGTTTATAAGATACTAATTACATATGTAGTACCACTCATTGCAAGACCTGATCACATGAAAAAAAATTGACCTCAAAGTTAATCATTTTTTTTTACAAAAAATGCTTAGCAATATACAGGTACCAACTACCATTAATTACTACAGAAGTATCTTTGTATCAATATAGAATTTGATTCATGATAATAATGAAAAACAACAATCAAAAAGGAGACTTATACTCATTTTCATTTCTGATCTAAAACTTGCTGCATAGCAACAAAAGGTGTGATAACCCTTCGCAGGTGATGTGAATTCAAAGATGACCTTGTAAATATATCATGTAACTGTTTTATCCACATACCATATTTTGGGGCCTCTGATTCATCATTTACTAGAGCTCTCAGCAGGCCGTTACTATACGCATTAAAGAATGACGGCAGTGCATGATATCCCTTGTTATTATACCAGATTTTGGCCTTTAGGTTTGCATTTGCCTCTTTGCTTTCATCTTCAAATGACCATCCACCATATCTGAAATTATCAAAATCATAGGGAAAATTGATCATGAAATATTTGTCAAAAAAAACTTTGATCATTTTAACAAATAGTAATCAATGAGGTTAATTTGCATATTCTTGGGTTAAATAAAGACAAAAAATAGGTGAATAAATATTATAACCATCTAACATGGTGAAAGTACACAGCCTGCAAACAATTTTTCGCTGCACTAATTCTTTTTGAGCTAGCGGCCATCATAAAAGACCAAAGCTATCAGTAAACAGTCATGCCATCCCTGCATTCTGACAAGACGTTTTGGCTGTTCAGTTCTTATGTTTTATTATCAAAATCCCTCATTTTGGTAATGGCCAGTTCCAAATGCAAAGCTGGACAAGTCCACTACATAAATATAAGGAGCAACAGGATAATACAAAAAAAATTCAGTATATCTACCTTTTGCCAATAAATTCAGGGAAACTGTCAAGTAAGTATTTGTTAAGATCTCTATTGTTCAAATTCTGTAGTATTTCTGTTGTCGTGGTTACTCGCTGTGGTGGGGGTGCACCCCAAAAAGGAGACCCTTCAACTTGTATTCAATCGTCCTGCAAGAAGCAAACGACCGTCTGCTGATGCAATTATTGGGAGGTACAGAAATTTGATGCAGGTGTAACATTTAATAAGATATCTGCAATAATAAAAACAATTAAAAGATACAACATTTTTTATTTACAAATAAATTTGGGCAATGTTGCTAGACAACATTTTATCTCTAAATACTAGTTTCCGTTAATACATGTAGTTGCCACATTTTTTCACAGTTTTTCTTGCTAAGTACAATTGCTAAAGTTATTTGTGGAGAAACAATTTTACCAATTTGTTTTATAATATTATTTCATGCAAACAACCAATTATATATGTTTCATTTTCCCAAAATTTTAACATTAAAACATTGTTCTTGCTTAATCATGCATTATCTACAATTACTGATCCCCTACCAATAACACTTACTGATGCTGCAAGACAGTATGGCATCTAATAAAATACTTACCCAAGATTTACATCAGCCATACATGATGTTCCAATTCCTGGGTCTACCATAAACGTTTCCAATACTTCGTCACCAAGAGTAAATCGTGTAGAATTTTGTCTGAAATAATCAATTTGGATAACATGTCTTAAATCAATTAGTTTTAAATCTCATAGAAAATTTAATCTGAGAATGAAATAATTCCAAAGTAAAATTAGTGAATCAAATCACTATATACCGAATAAGTGGACATGAGACACTTATCATTATCAGGTAAGCCTTATTCTTTCATACATTCTTTTTACAAATCACTTTAATTTTCATATTGACAGAAAAAATAATTAAAGAAGTTAATGTTACATGTTCATTAAAAATATGTATTTATGTGCAATCTTATACAAAAGATACCCCTCCCCACAATTACCGCAATACTCTACTCATTTACTATACAATTATTATTAATACAATCCTTTAAATCTAAATTAGTTGTACAGTGGTCTAAACACAGGGTTATTAAGTTTGCAAGTCAAAGACAAAGTTCAAAATTTGAGTCTCATAATGTGCAGCATTTTTATAGGGAATACTATGTTTGTAACAATATAAACAACTCTTGACCTATACTTACTGCATGAAAGTGTACATATCTGGTCCGTACATGGCAGGAGAGAGAAGTCGGCTCGGAGCAGACGTTGAGTCCGGTTTCACTTTGTACAGTCCCGATGCAAGCAAGAACAACAGTAGAGGCAATATCAATGTGGAAATAACAATACGCCAATCTCGACGATAGTGATGAAAACGTTTCGTTAAAAGTGCGAACATTCCACCGCCTGATCTTGAAGAATTGTTGGCTAAATTTGTCCTACTTCCACTGGACGCTAAAATATTTAAACAAAATATTTAAACAAAATATTTTATCACTTAAATATAAAGATTGATTCTAAAAATTTGATAAAATGCATAATTTTAAAGCAGCACGCCTCCAATTTCATGTTTATTTCATGAAAATTTTGGAAATGTATTTAAAAGTAAAATATTGTATGGTGAACAAATAAAGTAATTTACATATTGCAATCGGCACTTACAATCCACAAAATTAACAAAAGTGGTCAAGATATGCAAAAAAAAGCCCTTACTGCGTTCGTAACACAGTAGAAATATGGTGATAAATTACAGAAAAGTCAGTCTCAATCACTTACACAATACAACTTTTAAATACATTTTCAAAATTTTCTTGAAAATTAGAATGAAAGGCATGCAGCTTTAAGCTGAGAAATCACATATACATGTGTTTAAGTTTATCATATGAGAAATAATATGAAACCATGGCCAGTTTTCAATCAATAAAAAAAAGCATAAACTTTTGATTGCAAATAAAAATAATGTTATCTTTACCTGAGCTTTCAAAGTCATGTTTCCATTCATCCTTAGAGTTACCATTTGCAGGGCATTTGTCTCCTTTCTTCTTAATTTTGTCTTAACGTCTCAAGGGTGTTTTCCCTACCATTTTCAGCAAGGCTGAAACAACCTTCAAAAAAAACCCTGGTTTAAAAAAAACGGAACAAGGATTGTTTATAAAAATACTTATTAAATAAACATTAAAGCAAGACACAGATTTTTATTACATATGGTTAATATATTATAATGTTATAAATTTGTTATTGGCACAACTTACACAGTCATGCTGACCAACATTTTCTGTAAAGTTTGTATATATTACAAATAGGTAGAAATACATAAAAAAACATTTTAAGTGTTAGTACTTATAAAATTGTATGTCTATGTTGGCAGAACTGACCCTAACCAACAGGCTTTCCTGCAAGATTTCCTATTCAGTTAAATTCTATCATGTAATCTTTGTTAATATGATATCAGATCAGATGTATTTTAATAAAAGAACATTAAAAGAGCATAAAATATCCATACAGCAGTCAAATTAGGTCACTGACACATACCTCTTCCAAATGTGGGTCCGATATACCATAACTGACAATACCAAGGGATTGAACTTGTGCCTCCAAGTCTTGGAAGAGACCATAGAAGTCGGCCTCTTTATCTGTGGGTAAGACAAATGTCATTTCTGTTCCAGCAGACGCATGAAGACTGGGTCCCTGGTACCAGGTTTATTTATAGCTGTATATGCCAGAAAAAATGTTCAAATTCATCTTCTCAACATAGATAAAAACAGGAACTGGATCTGTATCTAAAAATAAATATTACAATGGTAAGCCTGTAAAAAAACTTTTTAAATTTTTTTAAAAGCATTGGGGGGGCCCCCTTTTAAAAATTTCCCCAAAGGCCCTTTAAAACTTAAAAATTTGGTTTTTCCACCTTTTATAAAATCGGCCCAAAAACAAAAAAGGTTTTTTGGTGGAAGGAAAAAATAAAAAACCCCGGTTCCCTATGGGAAAAAATTAAAAACCCAAAAATTTTTTTTAAAATTTTTAAAAAATTTAAAATTTTGCCAAAAAATTTAAAAATTTTTTTTTTTAATTTTTTTTCCCTTAATTTGGTTTTTGGCAAAACCAGGGTTTTAAACAAAATTAAAAAAGGGAAAATGAAAAAAAAGGATAAAAAAAATGGGAAAATAGAAACAGCAAGTTTTTTTTCAAAATAATTTAAATAAAATTTTTTAAAAAATTTATTGGGTAAAAAAAAATTTCAATTTTAAAACATTTAAAAATAAAAAGAGCACAAACTTGGCTTTTTAACGGGAAAAAATTTTTCCTTTCCCTATGAAAAAGCAAAATTTAAAATAGGAAAACCCCTCTGGGAAAAATTTTAAATTTTATGATTTTGTTTAAAAATTTTTTTTAACAAAATTTTTTTTCCGGGGGTTTAAAGGAAATTCCCTTTTCTTTTAAAATTAAAGTAACCTTTTTTAAAATTTTTTTTTGAAGTTTTTAAAACAAACCTTTATTTTTTTTAAATTGGATCTAATAATAAAAATAATTTTTATTTATATTTTTTCCTTTGCTCTTTGGGAAACAAAAACATTAAAAAAAAAGGAAAAATGCTTTTGAAAATTGTTTCCCCTAAAAATTTTATAAATAAAAATTTTAAAAAAAAAAGAATGCTTTTAAAAGTTTTTGGGTAAAGCAACAATATTGTCCCGTAAAAACATTAATGGAAATTTTGTTTAAGTTGCAAGGATAAAATTAAAGTTCAAAAAACAAAAGAAAAAAAAAACAATAAAGTTAAGTTACATAACAAATATAAACCTAAAAACATTTAGGCCCTCATGGAAAAAAAAAATAAAAAGGGTTTTCAAAAAGACATGGATTTCCAACCAGCCCGCGCCAAAATGAACCCGTCTGATAAAGGATTCCCCTGCTGTTCGCCTAAACGTTTCTTTCTTTTTTGTAGAGTTTTTAAAGCGAAAAGCAAAAGGATAATGGAAACAAAACTGTTGGGGGAAAAGCGCAGGCCCAGGTCTGGATCCCTTCCGGGTTTAAAAAAATTAAAGTTAAATTTGTTATGAAAATGGTCATTTTATAAAAAATCAAAGCAAAAAATTAACAATCAAAAGTGCTTGAACATTTTGGGGTGCTTTGAAAACAATTTAAAATTTTAAAAATTAATAAAAAGCCTTGTAGAAATAAAAATTTTATGAAAAAATTTGAGCAGAAAGGTTTTAAAGAAATATTTAAAAAATTTTAAAAAGATATAAAAAAAGAGGAAAAAAAAAAAACTAAAAATGTAAGGAAAGTGAATGACGGTTCCACTTAAAAACTGGGGACCCGGGTAATCATTATTCTTAAAAAAAAAAAAAGAAAAAGTTAAAAATAAAATTTCATTTTGTACATATGATTAATTTAAAAAAAAAATGTTTAAATGCCAATTAAAAAAAGATTATCAACTGAAAAATTAAAAATGAAATTTAAAAGTAAATGTAAAATTTAATGAAATTTTTTTTAAGGTTTTTTGGAAAAAGTAAAAAAGGGCAAAAAGATAGAAGATCACAGTGAAAAATGACAAGGCCATGGATAATGTAGGAGGTGGGTGAATGGGAATTGGGTTGGGTTGGGATGGGCTTTTTAATTTGATAAATCTCTATTTACTTTTAATAATATTTAACATTTATGGCTAAGGACTATTATTCTAGTACATGTACATTCATAATTATAACATCTGCCTAAATACTAAAGCTAACAAGGGTTTCCTAATCTCATACGAAATATTAATCATTACTGTTTGCTAACATGTACAATGTACTTATTTTGTAATTTTCCTAAACTATAAGGAATGGTTATGTAAAGATTGAAAGATGGACAACTCCATTTAAAATATTTAGCAGGGTAAGAGTTAAAACAGTTATCTCACTCCTCCTCGCACTTTATTTCATAGACGTAGGATTTTGATATCAATTTAGACAAAATGGACTTAACTCCAGAAATATTGTAGGAGAACAAGTTGACTGGCACCATTAAGATAAGATGAAAGATATATCTATATTAGAGATATAAGTAATTGTAAAATGAACCTATAAAATGATATTTAAATGAAATAAACTGAAAATGGATGATCAAAATACAAAAATACAAATTATTTGAGCAATAACTCTGGAACAGACAAAGCATGCATTCAGAACTGTTTGTAAAAAATATTGCTTACTTTTCTTATTTTGACCAAAATTTGATGTTACACTTTAAATAAATAGGTTAGTAATAAAAATTTAACACAAGAAAATCATTAGTTTTTGAAAAAAAGAAAATATTGTTTCTGTTATATTAAAATTGTGATTATAAGTAATTTTTTGTCAGAAATATCCTTTACTATGGAGGCTTTTTTGTGCCATTTGTGTTTTCGCTCCGTGCCCCCGCCATTTTAACTTGTTGATTCTTGACTTTTCCCTTGTCTCGGGGTGAAAACAAGAATGGCACAAATAAGCCACCATACTTTACTGAACATTTTAGAGAAACAGACAAATAGAACAAGTACTAAATCCTGAGTTTACAAACAGTTCTACAGTAAAGTATCTAGGTATAAAAGTGTCTAACAGTTAACTACCTCCATTTGTTTTGTCTGAAATGAGAAATGTTAATGTTCAACATAATTATGGGGTATATATAGATATACTGGTTATAAGAAATAATAAAATTGGCCATTTAACATCTTTCAGAACAGATTTTAATTTCAATTCACCAAACTGTAAATAGAAGAATCCCAGATGCAAATATTTGATAATTTAATAATAATATGTGACATTAAAAATACCAAAATTCTACAATTTGTTTCGAATAATATTTTACTGACATAAAAAATGTTAAACAAACAATTTAGAGTACAAGTTTCAAGTATGATTTTGAAAAAAAACAAAACAAAAAACAATGAAGATGCAAAGAAATTCAAGAAGTTACACAGAAAAAGATGCATGTAAGCTTATAATGAAAATGTCAAAAATTAAATAAAGATCTTGTTAGAAACACTGCATGCATGACATTTTAAGTTCTCAAATGATTATAAGAAACAGTCAAGTTAGCAAAATGTTTTCTTGCTCAAAGTATTACACATTTAAGGCAATCATAATTGGTTATGAATAACATAATTACATTATCCATTTTAACTTAAATTAATGAAGCTCAACATTAGAATAAATGAATGATAAATGAATTGAAATTAATGATAAATAAAACATTTACATGGCCTACATGAATAGAATAATAGAAGTGAAAGGTTGGTTATCACAGACACACTGCAAGAAGGTACAATTTTTAAAATAAATTACCTGATTTTCGTCTAATTATTAGATTCCAGACAGCCCGACGACCACTTGGATCCACGCCACTTGTTGGTTCATCAAGAATAACTGCCTTTGAGCCGCCAACAAAAGCTAGAGCTACACAAAGACGTCTCTGCATTCCACCGGACAGATTCTTCACCAACATATTTCGACAATAGTATAAATCAACATCTTTAAGCAATCTGAAAAAGTGATTTTGTGAATGGAATTTAGCAAAAAGACATTATCCAAATTGATAAACATCTATACTATCTAAAATTCATATAAACTTTTCATAACATACAAGATTTTACAGGCGAAGTCATTAAAAATATACTGCTACTATTCATTTTCAGCAGCATGCTGCTATCTTTTTGTGTTGATAAGCTTTAATGTTGTTACTGCATTTAGTTACTTTTCTTTTAACTATTCAGTTACCTTTATTTTAACTATTTAGTTACCTTTATTTTAACTATTCGGTCACCTTTCTTTTAACTATTCAGTAACCTTTTTTTTAACTTTTCAGTAACCGTTATTTTAACTTTTCAGTAACCTTTATTTTAACTTTTCAGTTACCTTTGTTTTAACTATTCAGTTACCTTTATTTTGACTATTCAGTTACCTTTATTTTGACTATTCAGTAACCTTTATTTTGACTACTCAGTTACCTTTCTTCTAACTATTCAGTAACCTTTATTTTAACTTTTCAGCTACGATACCTTTATTTTAACTATTCAGTAACCTTTATTTTAAGACTTAAATCAATTTAACCTTTACTGTGTTTGAATACTGAATTTTTCCCACTTTGAGATCAGAATTATTCATTGAAACTTTAATGGATTTAAATACATTATGTATAAAATACCATAAAAATTTTCTCAAACAGTAAACCTTCATTTTCCTAAGGAAAACTGACCAGATTAATTAGAGCATGACTGTAGAATAACTGTATCTTATGTAAAATACTTACTGTCGTATCTCGTCCTTTGCTGATAAGCCATGTAATGAGCTTCCTTTCATCGAGCTGTAGAACTCCATGTGTTCCTTTACTGTCATACTGTTGTTTTTATAGAAAAAACATTGATTAGATTATCCTAAAAAATACACTAATAAAGATTGATTATATATTTAATATAAAAAAGTCACTTTTCATGACTTAGGATTATGATATGGGGTACTGTTGCAGTTGAGTGGCTCTATGTTGACATATTTTCATTAAAATAAAATACATCAAAATTAAAAAATAAACCACAAAAACACCATCAAATGTTGTTGAGAAATCAAACTGGACTGAACAATGATGTCTACTATATCCATCAAAATGAATAAGAAAGCAAATGTTTTAATTAGCTGAGTCCTTATTCAGGATGAAGTAATGCAAAAGCAGCAGTCCTTCACATGTGCATATATCATTTACATATATAAAAATAGGTTTCTTGGAAATGCAGAATATAAATAACATTCAATATACATTTATTTACGTTTGCACTTTCAATATTGTGTACATGTCTATATAATTATGTACATGTAAATATTATACATATTTCGCAAAAACTTTTGTAATATAACACAAAGTATGGATATACTCACTATTCATACAGGGCGTTGTGTTGTGAGCATATACCTAGACTACCACGCATTCTCTTTAATGGTTGGTTCAGGATTCTTACAGCCCCTTTACTGGGACTTAAAACTCCAATTAACATGTTCCTGCAAAATATTTGATATTTTTGTAAAATAATACCATAATGGCTAAGATTTATAACTGGTTTAAATAACAATATCTAAATATTAAACTTAAAATTACTTAAACAAACTTTTACGACCAGTGACAGGGGTTATGAATAAAAATTTCTAAGCTAATAATCAAATCTCAGGTATTTGATTGGTGATAACCTTGCACAGAATGTGCACTAATCATGAAATTTGAGAGAGTGCTCAATTCAATATCTTATAACCTTGAGGCCAGATCAGTTATATTTGTGTACAAAATAACTGTATAGGTCACACATTTCAATAACTTAACAGGCAATAAAATTTGGTCAATATTTTATTTTGAGGAACTGTAAAAAAAAACAAGAGCTGTCGGTAGGACAGCATGCTCGACTATTCTTAGTGCTTGATAGTAAAAAAAATGCCTGATACAGTTACCTCCTCCTGTTTACAGGTTGGGGTCATGATGGTGAACAAGTGTGCAAAGTTTCAAAGCCATATGTCAATGGACTTTGAAAATATTTGAACTATTACAAAAACTTTAACGTAAATTCTAAGTCGAAAAAGGGGCATAATTCTGTCAAAATGCTTAATAGAGTTACCTCCTCCTGTTTACAGGTTGGGGTCATGATGGTGAACAAGTGTGCAAAGTTTCAAAGCCATATGTCAATGGACTTTGAAAATATTTGAACTATTACAAAAACTTTAACGTAAATTCTAAGTCGAAAAAGGGGCATAATTCTGTCAAAATGCTTAATAGAGTTACCTCCTGCTGTCTACAGGTTGGGGTCATGATGTTGAACAAGTGTGCAAAGTTTCAAAGCCATATGTCAATGGACTTTGGAAATATTTGAACTATTACAAAAACTTTAACGTAAATTCTAAGTCGAAAAAGGGGCATAATTCTGTCAAAATGCTTGATAGAGTTACCTCCTCCTATCTACAGGTTGGGGTCATAATGGTGAACAAGTGTGCAAAGTTTCAAAGCCATATGTCAATGGACTTTGAAAATATTTGAACTATTACAAAAACTTTAACGTAAATTCTAAGTCGAAAAAGGGGCATAATTCTGTCAAAATGCTTGATAGAGTTACCTCCTCCTGTCTACAGGTTGGGGTCATGATGGTGAACAAGTGTGCAAAGTTTCAAAGCCATATGTCAATGGACTTTGAAAATATTTGAACTATTACAAAAACTTTAACGTAAATTCTAAGTCGAAAAAGGGGCATAATTCTGTCAAAATACTTGATAGAGTTACCTCCTCCTGTCTACAGGTTGGGGTCATGATGGTGAACAAGTGTGCAAAGTTTCAAAGCCATATGTCAATGGACTTTGGAAATATTTGAACTATTACAAAAACTTTAACGTAAATTCTAAGTCGAAAAAGGGGCATAATTCTGTCAAAATGCTTGATAGAGTTACCTCCTCCTGTCTACAGGTTGGGGTCATGATGGTGAACAAGTGTGCAAAGTTTCAAAGCCATATGTCAATGGACTTTGAAAATATTTGAACTATTACAAAAACTTTAACATAAGTGGTTACGCCGACGCCGACGCCGACGCTCGGGTGACTGCAATAGCTCTACTTATTCTTATCGAATAGTCGAGCTAAAAAATTATGAATGTTTTAAATATTGAAATCTGAATAAAATCTAAACAAATCAAGTGGAGAATAGAAATGATTTAGCTTGACAAATAAATTCAGTATTTTGTCAGAATAGATTCACATGTTTATACATACATGGTGGTTGTTTTTGCGGCACCATTGTGACCTAGCAGTGTGGTAACATTCCCGCAGTGAATGTCCAGAGACAGATCTTTGACCGCCACAGTACCATCAGAGTACGTCTTGGACAGACCTCTTGCTGACAAAACGATTGGTGTGGATGACTGTACATCTTCAGCAAATATTCCTAAAAATAATGAAAATAAACAAAGGTTAATCAAGTGGATATAATAAGACATCAGCTTGGTAAATTATCTCCTTAAAGTAAGGACAAAATATTATAACTATTCATAGGAAGCTATCAAAATATAAAGCGGGGCTTCCATTAGGTTTCAAAATAAGAGACTGCAAGTTGTTTGACATTGGAAGTCACATTATATAGGTAAAAAAGGAAAAGCTTTTGGAAGTCACAAGCCAAAATCAAGGAGTTAATGACTCCCAAATGGAAGCCCTGTGTAGGCAGTAGCTATTGTAATAGTCTCAAATTGAGATTTTATTGAAAAAAAAGTAAGGTTTTTATAACTCTAAATATAGAATTAACTTCATTAATTTCTAATTATTCCAGTTTGCTAACTATCTACTGTTAAGTATTGCAGAAAATACGATTCTTAAGTCTGTTGATTATAAAACTTTGTCTTCAGTCAAATGGTTTTTTACAGAAATAGAACAGCTCTTTGGAGAACATTAATTTTGAATGGGGTAAATTTTGCATGAGGTAAAGAATTATTATAAAATCATTTATTGAAGTAAAAATATGAGGTCTACCTTCATTCTGTGCATTATAACGTCCCTCTTTGCTTGAACCCTGCCCACACCACATGGCCGGGTTGAAGATAAAGTACCATGGCTCTGCCACACCAAATTTCCCTGAAAACAATGTATAATAATTTCTGTGTTTTAATCTCATACAACATTCATAAACAGTTTTTCTACAGATTTTTTCCCAAACAAATATAATTTTTTTAACATGCATTAACTTATAAAATGTTCTATCATTTTCAAACATGTCTGTATATGCATCATTCACATACATTTAAGAAATGCAATATTGGTTTGTATTTCTCTATTAGTGACATTAAATATTGTCGTTCTTTTTGGTTTTAAGTTCAGTTTTAATACTTTTTAGACTATCATATCAAAGACAAATCAATATTGGTCTAGGAGACTGGAAGGTAAGTAAATTGTCAGGGAGACTGGCAGATGAAATGATTGTAAATTAGATTCTATTCTATTTACCTGGCTTGACATTCCTCACATACCACCCAAGAATGAAATAGATGACACCATCTATAAGTATCATGATACAGCACCAAGAGAAACTAAATCCATCACCATACATTGGATCATCTTGGATGTTATCCCACTGTATACCAATCTGCTGTTCCTCATAACGGGCGATGTACTGGGCGGCATAACTGAACGCTGAAGTTGACGCTAAACACTGAAAATTGAAACAAAGCTGAGTCTATACCAACACTCTCTGTATGTAACACACAATTTGATTGGCTGCTGGATTTAATTTCATAATAAATTTACTCATCCAAATCTGTTATAATATTGGTAGAGTTCAATGTTAAAAAAGTATACCTCTCAAGTCATGTTTAATCTTTAAGCTTGCTGACGACTACTTAATCTATCCATGTGAGCAGTGCAGACCAAGATCAGCTGGCAGAATGTGCGGTTTGATTTTGGTCTGCACTGTTCTCTACTTAGCCAGTAAATATTTTGAAATTTTCCCTAAGAATAACGAATGGTTTGGTCCAGATTGAAAGATTGACAAGTCTGTTTTAGATATTTTGTATGGTAAAGGTTACAAAATATGAAACTTACAGCCAGTGTCTTGTGCCAGAATTCCATCTGAACTTCCAATGTAAACAGAATAACATATGGCATATAACTGACAACGTATACAATAATACACGCCAGTATGGCCAGAGATGTTCGTGTAAAGAATGCACTCACAAAGTAACTGAAAGAAAAATAATTCACATTACAAAGTAAAAATGTTACCATAATTTTATCAAATATTCTAAAAATGAGTTGTACACTTTAAAGCAGCATGCCTCCAAATTTATGCTAATATTCACAAAAAACTTTGAAAATTCATTTGAAATAATTCAAAATACTGTGAAAAGACCAAAGAAAATAATTCACACATTGCAAACGGCAATTACAATCTACGTAAATTACCAAAAAGAGGTCAAAATATACATAAATACCTCTTACTGCGTTAGTAACACAGTAGAATCATAGTGATTGATACTGCAAAATCAGTCCTAAATCGCACATAACATGTGAATAATTAAATATTGAATCTTTTTACTTTTCGTAAGACCTTAATACATTTTTTTAAAGATTGAATTTCTTAAAATATTTTGGCTCATCTGGAGGCGTGCATAAATAAGTACAACTTTAAAAATTATTGTTGTGTACATACAATCTATAATGTGTCTTTTTAACAGTGTTTTTTATCCTTGGCACTTTTTTGTGTGCAAACAAATACAATATTATTCAGACTTAGATCTCTGGTACTTGACTGGACAGAAAATTTTATAATTTTGAGACAGAATGTATGAACAAATTTCAAAGAAAAGAATTATTTAGTGGTCATGGACCTGTTTTACTTACCACATCATTATTACAGAGAATATGAAGTCAATAAAGTATAGGTATATTATGGCAATGTTGCTCTTGATGAAGATGTTTCCGTAACGCAGTATCAATACATCTATAATTGCTACAATAGCCATCACAAACATGGTAGAGAAAAACCAAGCTATCCAGTTGAGGCAAGTTTTCATACCCATTGCATTAAGTGTCTGAAAATATATGAATAAAATATATGTATGTATAAAATATGTGTGTGTATGAAATATGTTTATATACAAAATATATGTGTGTTTTAAAACATATGTATGTATAACGTATGTGTATGTATGTGTGTTTATTTCTTATCTTGATATTAATAATGATTCTAAAAACCAAAAAAAAATATTCCAAAGCACAGGGAGTTTTTTTTTATGCCACAATTCATAAACCTAACTTCATCAACAAACATATAAATTCAGATAATTATCCCCCAGATATCATAAACACTTGTTTATCGTATCCTTATCCTTCTAGAAATTAAAGTGATTAGCCTTTACCACCAGTATAGATCTTGGCAACCATGCCAGTCTGCACCTCGATCCATGTAGTCAGACAAGGCTCTATACTGTTAACTGACTAACTTTATTTTTTTTCATCTTAATATCCCTAAAATTGGCTATAGGCTGCTCCAAAAATGTAAGCTGGACAAGTTCATTTATGTAATTCAGAAGAATAAAAGGTGAGTTACCTCTTCTTGTCCTCTTTCACGGTCATATACAAAATTGTAAACCGCTACAGATATAGCAGCCAGCCAGGACAGGGTCATTAGTACATTCAACAGGTAACCAGCAATTGTATTCACAAACCTGGAAGAAAATATACATTTATTTAGTCTTGCAATTGTAATAATAATGGGTTTACATTTGAGCCTAGTCACAACAAAACCTACATAGCGGGTTTATGACCAGCATGGATCCAGACTAGCCTGCGCATTTGTGCAGTCTGATCAGGATCCATGCTGTTCGCTTACCAACTCTATTACAAGTAGAGAAAGTGATAGCGAACAGCATGGATCCTGACCGGACTGTGCGGATGCCCAGGCTGGTCTGGATCCATGCAGGTTGCAAACACACTATGTTGGTTTTGTCGTGATGCGGCGCAGTCCAGTCCAGTGCCAACATTTTTAAATCTGTTCTTAAATGAAACCAAGTGGTGAAAGAAAAAACGTATTTCAACTTTATTAAAAATTATCATAATATTTTTATAAAATCATTTCACTACAAACATATGCATGCAATACATGTACCTATATACCAAAGTTGGTTATTTTAAAGTTAACTTACAAGTCTTGAGTATGGCATGGGTAAGGGAACTGGTTGGTTGTTACTGAAGGTAAGGTAACGTTCTCCCCAACATGAAGGGATATAATGGCTTCATCAATCATGTCTTGAAGCTGCGCAAACCCACGGAAATATCTCATCTCGGTGAAGAAGTTGTCATACGGTTGTGGTCTCCACATATTCGGCTTTATTTTGTCAGTGTCAGGAGTATTGTCAACATCCATTCGTATTGTGTAATGTATATGTGTAGGAATAGATGACCCAGATTGTCTTTTCCTTCGTGTAGACTTGTCTGGCATGTCAAACATGATACCTGTAATCAATAAGGTATTACTTAAATTTTGTCTGTCAGACCTGTTTATCAATCTTGATACTACATCATTTGAATATCTTAAACCTTACCATTAAATAATCTACATGTCCTACATTGAAATCACAGGACTGAGAAATTTAATAACTAATATAACATCAATAAGCAGCCCTGGGCAATGGTACAGACCCTGATCTGAGTGGATGAGATGCTTTCTGGACAGGCTCTAAACTGATGGCATAGAAAGGTCATTTTTGATGGTAGCACTTAATCGGTTAAAAATATTTAATCTTTAATTTATATAAATACTTAATAAAATCCTCTTCATGCCCAGTCAAGGTTTTTGAGGTTTGAATATTTTTCATGAAATTAATATAAAACAAGGATTGATATAATTATCACAAAATCGATGCCACAAATAATGAAATATTGTACATGCATCTGGTAAATTTTATGTCATTCTATATTTAAAAACAAAATACCATAAAAAATATATAGTGTCAAAGAAGATAAAAGTACAAATATCCAATGAAAACAACAATAAATAAGACAATTTCCTTAGTTTGCATCTTGACTTATTTTTATCATGAAACCGTTATTGCTCATGAATTTGTTACTGCATGTATATGAAATATTACAGTTCAGTTATAATTTTAAAAGTATATAACTAATAAATACATACCAGCTAACAAAGAATTGTCCTTGGCCAGTTCAGCTGCTGCTTTCTCCATTTCCACCTCTGTATTGAACCCTTCAAATCTATCCAGTTCCAAACATGATACATAGTCTTTAATCATTTTTGCCACTTTACTGATTCCATTCATCATATCCATGTCAGTGTCCTCTAGTGTATATAGAATATCATCTAACTCTCGTGTATCAACCCCCGATACCTCCGTTAACATACTCTTTATCACATTACTGCTTAGTAAGTCCTGTAATGTCAAAACAAGGTTCATCAGTTTTGCCAAGTCTAAACAAAATAGGTTTATCTGAACTAAATATTTTGATGGAAATGACATAATGCTAAATAAATTAAAATTTAGTCTGCTAGCGGCAACATATTCAACCCATTTGACCAGTGCAGACCAAGATCAGCCTGCACACCCATGCCATCTTATCATGGTTTGCACTTGTTTCTATTAAGTAAATACACTATTTTGTTTTCTCTAAAAACAATGAAATGTTTTGTCCATTAAAATTTTGTAAGATATTTAGCGTAGTAAGGGAAAAAACAGACAATAACCTGATTAAAACAAAACAATTGACGTGAATTACATGTATCACCCATTAATATCTCTTGAATATTTCATTAACAATTTTGAGATCCTAAATATGATATATATATAAATCATATATAAAAAAAACATTTTATTTCTTTAAAATATCAAATATTACAAGCATAAGTGACATTTTGCACTTCTTAACACTATTTTTTTCCAAAATACCACTACAGCATCATATATATCAAGAAACAAAACACTAATATGGAAAACTAGTGATAGGCAATGAAAAAAGTGCTAAAAATTCAAACCTGTAACTCCTTTGCCTTGTCTCCTGTAAGGTTGCCAAGGGCAACTGACCCCTCTGCCCAGTCTACTGCCAGCTCTATAAACTCCTCAAGTGATGAAAATGTTGTATTGATCTTTATATGAAAAACAACAAGAAAAACAATGTAACAAAAAAAGAACCAAAGTAATAGAATTTAAAGAAAATGGTTTGAACACAACTGTGAACATTACAATTTTCTAAATTACAAAATGTTCTTATTTAACTGTTCTGCTTAAGTCAAAGCATGGGAGCATGAACAGTAGCTTAAGTACATAAATCAGAAATTAGATAACTTAGCCAAAAGTAACATTCTAAAAGCAAATGTAGCTTAAGAAAAATGAAGTTTAGATATACCTGTGTGACAATAGTTCTTGCTTCAGGTGTGTTTGGTGAAAACACAATCTTTCCTCGGAGAAGTGGTTTCAAATAAGACCATATGATTGGGCCATTTCTATCTTTCAGAATGCGTACATACATATCCTTGCATGCAGTTCCTGTGACCAAATAAATTATAATAATTGTTATGACGGTGAAAATTGTATTGAAAACAAAATTCTTTGTAGAAAATTTGCATATTGTTAATGTGTGGGGTTTCAGTATCAAAATGCTTTAATGAAACGGTTAATTGTCTGGTCACGTTTTCAGAATAAGCAAACTGGCTTGGGTTTATATCTATAGCAAAGGTAAGTCATTTTGGCTGTAAGCTTTTTGAAAATAAAGTTACATCCTTATTGCGATGAAGTTTTATCTACTCACCAGGAAGAGCATCAAACTCTCTCTGCTGTTCTGTTGTCAGTTCTGTACGGGATTTCAGCACAGCCCCAGTCTGAAATTCATCACTAATCATTGGAATGGAATTACCACATAATATAGCTGACAGTGATCCAAACTCCTGATCTCCTGAAATTATAAGACACAAAAATATTTATATTTTTATACACCAAAAGAAAAATAAATACACTGTACTCTTCAATAAAAATTAAATGAATTAGGCATTAAATGGATAACAGATGTTGACATAAAATCAAATTCTAAGTGTTCGAAGGAGTAAAATTTTACACGTTTATTTTTCCCCTATGAACAAACAAAGTACATCTCAATCTTTCTATTTTCTATTTTACATAATTATACTGTATATTAAGGGATTAGTTAAGTTGGTGACATGGAGATATTGGCAAATTTCATGAATTAAAAGCTAGAAATCATGTAAATAAGATAAAGAAAAAGTCAATAAACAATTATTTTAATGAAAGGTGTATAGGAGGATGCAAATCATCAGAATTCTGGGATACAATTAAACCATATTTATCAAATAAATGTACTCTAGAACAGCCAAAAATAATACTTAATGAAAATAATAATATTATATCAGACGACTCAGAAGTTGCTGAAATTTTTGATAGTTTTTTCACAAATGTAGCAGAATCTATAGGGAAAGATTATGATTACAATGTAGAAAATCATCCTAGTATTGATCAAATCAATGATAGAAATTTTTTACAAGATGCCTTTAGCTTTGAACAAACATCACAAGGTAATATATCTAAACTTATAAATAATCTAAATGTTAAAAAGGCCACAGGGGCAGATAAAATTTCAGCCAAATTTATTAAACTAGGTAAACCATCACTAGTTGAACCGTTGACAAATCTAATTAACATCTCAATTAAATTGCAAGTTTTTCCGACTAAATTAAAACAAGCACAAGTAAAACCACTTTTCAAAAAAAATGACGCTATGACCAAATCTAACTATAGACCAGTAAGTTTATTACCTATTCCATCTAAACTTTTTGAAAAGGTATTATTTGATCAGCTCTCTGCTTTTTCTGATGATATATTTGACAATTATTTATGTGCTTTTAGGAAAGGCCATGGGTGTCAAACTACTCTGTTAAGACTGCTTGAGGACTGGAGACAGGCCCTGGATAACAATGAATATGTGGCAGCAATTTTGATGGACTTATCTAAGGCATTTGATTGTCTGCCACATGACATTCTTTTAGATAAGCTAAAAGCATATGGCTTATCAGGCCCTGCCACCAACCTCATGCAATCTTATCTGTCAAACAGGAAACAGCAAATAAAAATAGGCAATATTGTAAGTTCATGGGCTAATACATCCAAAGGTGTCCCTCAAGGATCAATCCTGGGCCCTCTACTGTTCAATATTTTCATAAATGACATATTTTTCTTTATAAAAAAATGTACTTTATATAACTATGCAGATGACAATACCCTTTCTTTTCGGACTAAACATTTTGATGAACTAATATGTCATACATGTGACATCCCGGCGGGATTTAAAAAAATCCCGATATTTCAACACTGATCCCGATTCCCGATATTACAGCTTGAATTCCCGATATTTAAAAAAAAAATCAACATAAAAAAAATCAAACACAGCACCTGTATCTAAAATGTAAACCGTGCCTCCAGGCATTGATTGTTATCTATCCATATCCTAAATTATAGCGGATTAAATGTTGAGTCGCTAATTGACAGCAAGGTGACGTAATAAACAGTTCCAATACCCAAAGTTATTCTCACATGTTTAACTTATCACGTGTCGTGTGTCAGTCAATTGACCTCTTTTGTAATTTGGCAGTAGGTATTACACGCTACGTCATCAAAACCACAGACACTTGGGGTTTGGAGCTCAAAACGCCTTTAAAATCCAAATAAAATGCATATTTGTCAATCCCAGCACATGTACTGATCATATATATCAAAAAAACTTAATATAAGCCGTTTTGAAAAAAAATCATATTTCAACATGTATAATAATACACACTTGGGGTTTGGAGCTCAAAACGCCTTTAAAATCCAAATAAAATGCATATTTGTCAATCCCAGCACATGTACTGATCATATATATCAAAAAAACTTAATATAAGCCGTTTTGTAAAAAAATCATATTTCAACATCTATAATAATTATTATAGATGTTGAAATATGATTTTTTTTTCAAAACGGCTTATATTAAGTTTTTTTGATATATATGATCAGTACATGTCCTGGGATTGACAAATATGCATTTTATTTGGATTTTAAAGGCGTTTTGAGCTCCAAACCCCAAGTGTCTGTGATCAAAACTACCCTGTAAATTTACATGTATGAATTCGGCTCAACCTTTGATTTTCTTTGATTAGTGCCGCACTGATAAAGATAAAAGGTGAGCAGAATCATTTAAAGTGGATCATTCAAAACCTGTTTCAGATGTCTAATTAACCTATTTTTAGTAAGTGGGTAATTTTTTGTTTTGTTTAGGAATTACACAATCATCGAGGCAAAAATGTGGATTTAATTAACGGAACGATTCTTGCATTTATTTTGAGTCTTCTACTTATGTTACGTTATTTAACTGTCATAGTCTTATGTTCATGAATAGTTGTTGCATGTTTTCAAATAGCTTGTGTTTAATTAATGAATGACTGAAAAGACAGATATAATTCTTCAAACTGAAAATAATGAAATGTGAAAGTGTGACTGTTTTAGAAATAGCCTGTATGACTACACTTATTTATTTATCTATTTATTAATTTTTTTGGTGAAATAAATTAATATTGATCATTTAATGATTTTGAGGATAATATAGATTCTTTGAACCAAATGTGCCAAACACGCATTGAAATTCGAGTCGATAAAAAAATCCAGTTTTGAGCCTCAAAATCCAGCTGAAAATCCAGATTTGGCCCATTTCATTTGTCACATGTATGATATGTACCTTAGAACAAGAAAGTAACTATCTTATAAATTGGTTTCATTTTAATAAAATGCAAGCTAACCCTGATAAATTTCAAGCTATTGCTGTAGGGAAGAAAACTTTCACTAAATCCCCAGCTTTCAAAATTAATACTAGTGAAATAACATGTGACGAAATTGTAAAACTCCTTGGCATCAACATTGATCAACAATTAAATTTTAATTTTCACATAAGCAATATATGTAAAAAAGCTGCCAATCAGTTAAACATCCTCAAAAGAATAGGTCACAATTTAAATCAAACAAATAGGCTAACAATCTTTCATACTTTTATTTTGTCCAATTTTAATTTTTGTCCTATGGCATGGCATTTTTGTTCAGAAAATAATACTAACAAGATGGAAAAACTACAGGAAAGAGCACTCAGATTTGTCTATAATGATTTTAATTCAAGTTATGAAGATATGCTGATAAAAGTTAATATACCATCTCTAAAAATAAGAAGAATGAGGGCTATGGCCATTGAAACTTTTAAAATTTTTCATGATATGTCTCCTGCTGTTCTGTCTGACCTTATTGTCAAGAAAACTACTGGTATTAATTTTAAATATTCAAATATTTTGCAGATCCCGCAAGTAAGAACTACAACTACAGGTAAAAAATATTTCAGGTATGCTGCACCTGCTTTATGGAATACTCTACCCGAAAATTTTAGAAAATGTTCAAATTTTGCTCAGTTTAAAAAGTTAATTTCATCCTGGAATGGTAAACAGTGTAAATGTATTGCTTGCAGCTAACTTCTATATCTTGATTTACTCCACTTTTTATTTATTTTTTCTGGGTGTGAACATTTTCTTTTGGGTCACATTTATCATTTAGCTTCTTCAGTTTTTTTTTTTTTTTTTTTTTTTTCCTTCTTGCTTGCATTAAATGTGTTTTTGCTATTTTTCCCTGCTTATGTTAATATTATCATTTAGTTTCTAGATAGGATGTTGCTTTATTTTGTGATCTTTTGTTTTGATTTTGCTTTTTGTTTTGTTGTTGTTTTTTTTTTTTTTTTTTTTTTTTGCTTATCTTTTCCAGCATGACTCAAGCTAGCTGTTAAATGAGTTCAACTAATGACTTACATGTTTAATACCTTCTGTCTTTCTGTAGTCTGATAATCCATAGTCTTTCATATTTAAATTATATATAAAAATGTATGTTGTTTTTTTTTTTAGTATTTTTATTTATTTATTTATTTAAATAATTCATTAAATTTTTAATTGTTTACTCGGTATATTATTGAACTTTAAGTAAATTTTTAGATACTAGACTTTGCTAGTGATGTAGATTTGGGTAAACTATCATTTTTAGTTTTTTAGCATATGATTCGTTTTATAAATATATCCTAAAAGGTCTATTTTATGCATGTGATGTATATATATCATGTCTAATCATTTTTTATTGTAGCTGTTTTATCTTTGTTGATCTTATACTTTATGTTATTTACAGTCGGTTATAAAAGCTCTTAGAGCTTATGTTGTAATGTTGAAAACTTGCCGACTTGAAATAAAACTTATCTTATCTTATGAATTGACAAAAATTGCTAAAACTTCCTCTACCATACATATCCACAAACCTGTCATTACATTCTTTAATACTGTGTACATGAAATGCTCTTTTCACTTAGCTTATAAGGTAGTCCAAAGACATGTATTATTGTACAACATACATACCAGTTTGAGCTTGTGCAAGGGTGGTAAATGCATCAGGAATAGTGTCTGCGAAATCATTAAACGTCTTTGTTATTTTCTGTAAGTCATCATTAGCATCAACCAAGCTTTTTATAGCTTCTTTAGTCGCATCAAGTGTTATATTAGACCTCCTTAGTATTCCATTTACTCCATTTATAACAAACTATATAAACAGACAACAAAACAACACTTTCACTATGAGAATAATCCAACCCTAGGTGAATTAAAATAACAGCCATGAGAGGCAAACAATTTCAAATAAGTGACAATATAACAAATTAGCTGCAGAGTTCAAAAACAATCATTTTAAATTAAACATATTAAACATGTCTTCCTTAAGAATATTTTTGCGAGTTTTCATATAGACAAATAGCCAGAATTAAAACTGTTCACTAGAATTTCGTTAAACTTGAAATATTTTTAGAATATGAAAACAGAAAAATTTTAAGCAAAAAAAGTTAGGTGTCACAGAGCTCACTTCTGATATCTTTAAAACTTACATCCTCCATTAGTTGGCCGATATCTAACTGCTGGAATATTTCATCAACGAGAGACGTCACAGTGGCCTTGTCGAGACTACAAAACTGTCTACTAACAAGATCCAAATCTAAAGATGAACCGTTCTTTACATCAATGGTCTCCTTAAGTTTAGTACTGTTACAAATATAGCTTTCAATGTCCGTTGTTGCCGCAGATATCAGCTATAACAAGAAAAAATGTTATTTATCATTACTTGCTATAAAGTACCTTCATTAATATTATCATCATCACTATCATTTATAAGTATAAAAGACAAAATATCCAGGGATGGCCATGATTTCTTACCGTAAACATTTTTACAGTGTTAGTTTGATGCATTATATTTTCTAATGATCCAAGCTTGATGGAGGGATGAATTAGTGCACCCAATGATATAAAGAAAATGAACATCATTACTGAACTTTGATGAATATTGGATATTGTCTAAGGAGTTAATATAATAAAAGGAGCTAAAATTTATTATAGACATTACAAAGGTCTGAATCTTACATATTTCTAACTGCATTATACTTAACTGTATAAGAAATATTAATTGTTTTCATCGGTACATTTTGCTAAATGATCTATAAAAGAAGCTATATCAAAACAAATTTTCAGCATTCTAAATTTAAAACAAATTAAAACACAATTCATACACGGGCACAATAACACAAATATGTACAATACTTCTATTGTATAAGTTACAAACCAAAACATGTAATGGTATATTAACATCATTTACTTACAGCATCTAAACTGAGGCTTCCATCAATTATAGCTTCTGTTACATTTTCAGGTAACTTCATTGTGTCAATCATGTAATTACGAAGGTATTCTGTATCTTTAACGAGGTCCTTTATTTGAACTGAAATATTTCGCACATTATTTTGTATGGAAGTCAAAATACAAAACGTATTAATTTGTTTAAACTTTCCTACTTTTATGACAACAAATTAGACATTCAGCACTGCTTTCTTCAGGTGATAAGCATATAATATGCTCTAAAATAGGTATTTAAAAATCATACTAGAACTCCGCGAGTCGGATGTGTCGCCTTGTGAACAATGTAGTTTAGGGGAAATGGCCAGGACAAAAATGAAATATGAAAAATAACAAAGGGCAATAACTAAAAAAATAATACGTGCAGAGCAGCAGTTTCTGTACACTGCACTTCTTATCAATAAGATCTATCATTCTATGATGTTTCAAGTCCATAGCTTTCATACTTGAGGAAAAATGACCAGGACAAAAATAAAGTAAGAAAAGCAACAAAGGGCAATAACTCAAAAATAAGAAATGCTGAGTATCAGTTCCTTATGCACTGCACTTCTTTTTAATGAGATCTATCATCCTATGAAGTTTCAAGTCCATAATTTTTATACTTTCAGAGAAATGGCCTGGACAAAAATTAAGTATGAAAATAAACAAAGGGCAATAACTCAAAAAATAAGAAATGCAGAGTACCAGTTCTTGTGCACTGCACTTCTTCTTAATGAGACCTATCATCCTATGAAGTTTCAAGTCAATGGCTTTTATACATTAGGAGAAATGGCCCGGACAAAAATAAAGTATGAAAATTAACAAAGGGCAATAACTCAAAAATTAGGAAGTGCAGAGTACTGGTTCTTGTGCACTGCATTTCTTCTTAATGAGATCTATCATCCTATGAAGTTTCAAGTCCATAGCTTTTTTAGTTGAAGAGAAATGGCCCGGACAAAATTTAAGTATGAAAATTAACAAAGGGCAATAACTCAAAAAATAAGAACTGCAGAATACCGGTCCTTGTGCACTGCACTTTGGGTTATTGAAAGAAGCATGCATACCAAGTTTGAAGTCAATCAGACTTATAGTGACTGAGTTATGCTCCGGACAAGCTTTAGCGGACGCCGACAACGACAACGACACAGACGCTGCCGCCGCCGCCGACAAAAGTAACCCCTATATGTCACCTTTTCAAGGCGACACAAAAACTGATGGTTGTCCTTTTTTCCCCCTAAGGAATGATGTGCCTTTAAAATTGTCATCGTAATCTAACCCCTAACCCTCTCTCCTCCGAATCCACTCTAAATTTGCAATACAAGAAAGACAAACTAAAGTGCTCTTGTCATTATAATAATAGGGAACTAACAAGAGCGATCAGTAATCACATGTGTCGCCTCATGATGGCCAATTTCATGTTGGGACAAATTTTGTGACAGACGGACAGACAGACGGACAGTGCACAACTAGACTAACAACTTTGTACTGATCATCCCTGTAAAGTTTGGATAAAATTGCACCAGTAGTTTATGAGGAGTAGTCCGGACAAGCTTTTGCGTATCTGGCAACACACAGAAAAAAACACCTTTTTATCAAAGGGCCATAACTCAGCCAAAAATCATTCAACCGGAAAACCCGTGCAATATGCGCAAGGACTTGAGCTACAGATCAATCCTGTAAAGTTTCATTGAAATTGCATAAGTGGTATAAGAGAAGTAGTGTGGACAAACTTTAAAAATAAAAATTATTAAAGGGCCATAACTCAAACAAAAATCATTGAACCGGAAAATGCTGACAATATGCACAACTAGACTTGGTACTGATCATTCCTGTAAAGTTTGGATGAAATTGCACCACTAGTTTATAAGGAGTAGTCCGGACAAGCTTTTGTGTATCTGGCAACACACAGAAAAAGAAACCTTTTTATCAAAGGGCCATAACTCAGCCAAAAATCATTCAACCGGAAAACCCGTGCAATATGCGCAAGGACTTGAGCTACAGATCAATCCTGTAAAGTTTCATTGAAATTGCATAAGTGGTATAAGAGAAGTAGTCCGGACAAACTTTAAAATTAAAAATTATTAAAGGGCCATAACTCTGACAAAAATCATTGAACCGGAAAATCCTGACAATATGCACAACTAGACTTGGTACTGATCATTCCTGTAAAGTTTGGATGAAATTGCACCAGTAGTTTATGAGGAGTAGTCCGGACAAGTTTTGTGACGGACGGACGGACAGACGGACAGACAGACAGACAGACAGACAGACGGACAGACGGACAGACGGACAGACAGACGACGGAGAAGTGATCCCTATATGTCGCCACTACTCCGTAGAGGCGACACAAAAAGCATATGCAAAATTACTGACAAACATGCAGGAGAGTATTAACACTTTAAATCACTGACTTTTTTAGAAGTAACCCACCATTAAAGAATTAAGAAGTACGTAATGAATGATTTTTTCTATTCTAAATACAGTTATAATAATATGATATATTATTATACACTGTATTAACATACCATTGGCAACAAACATGTCCCTCAGTGAGGTGAAGGCAAACACACCTTCTGCAAGCATTCTAACATCGTCAAGGATACTATTTGTCAAGTTACTATCATCTAGTATTTTAAAATCATCCAGTAACACATTCAAGCTGTAAAGAAAATGTATAGAAGATGTTTTTTCAGTTAACTATATCTCATTAAGAAGTAAAAAAACATTTTCCTCACAAATAATTTTTGACTTTCACTTTTTTACATGAGTACATTTGCCATATTTGTCTTAAATTTGGGCAAGTCCATTTACGATATCATGAATGGTACAGGTTGAAAATCAAGGACAAAATTATCATCAAGCACCCCTTTACTATATATATAATCAAGTTGTATTTACACATACAGAGGGAAAAAACACAATAATAACAACATTTTACTTTGTAAATAAAGACCTTCAGCCTACATTTAATAAGCAGCAGCAGCATAGGAATAATTTGGTCAATCACAAGTCCAGTGATAATATTATAATTTGTTTAATTCAATTCATCCTCAGTCACTGTTTCAAATAATATGCCGAACAATCTGTATTTCTCTTGCATAGAACAAATAATAATGAAAAATAAATTATTGCAAAACTGGTGTTGATCTACATGTACATGTATATGAAAGAAAGTATTTAAACTGCAATAAAGAAAAAAAAGAAAAATTTACTCACTTTTTCAAAATAGCATCTGGTCCATTATCTACAAGTAATTCTTGGAGTGTTCTTAAGAGTTCCCTATCCTCACCAAGCTTGGCTATATCAACTGTACCCAGTCGAGCCACGAGGTTCGTCAAGGATGACAAACCTTCAATGTTGCCAACTAAAGCTGATATATCCTTAGAAACCTTTGACCAGAATGCCGTAGAGTCATATTCTGCCAACTCTTCAAGCTGAAGACAACAATAGTAAAATATTTCAATATATAACAATATGTTAAAGGAACTTTCCTGAGATCCAAACGCATAAAACATAAAAAAATATATTTCTTACATAGATATTACTGGTACAATTAGAACTTATTCAAACTTTGCATGATCACACAATATGATGTGAGAAACACTATAAGCACAAAAAATTGGGGGTCACCAAGCTTACTCTTATAATATTCGAATATCATGCAAAGTTATTTAAATAAATTCTGTTTTGGTATGAAAATTTCATTCTGTATTTCATATGTATAACATATACAGTCATACATGTACATGCATATAAATAATTGTAGCATAAGCCTTTAATTTCAACACAAATTCAAGTGGCAGCATGTTGGACTAGTTATCTAATGATCACTAGCTACATGGATTCAAACACTGTCAGGGGCAAGTCGTTGCTTCCTTGAGCAAAATACTTTACCCACATTACTCAGTACTGGTTAGTTTCAGGAACAGATTCGAAAGTGTGTCTATAAGCTTATAGCTTCCTACACAATCAAACTAAAATAAATTCTGTATATACAAACTTCATGTGTCTGCATAGTTACGAGATTACAAATATGCCACACAAAAAAAATAAAAAAATATACTCTTCCAGAGTCTGTGCATAGTTTGCCAGATTTTGTGCAACTTCCTTTGCTAGCTCTTTGTCGTCCCCACATAATGTAGCCAGTAATGTTACATCAAGGGAACTGGTATTACTTGCCTCACATAGTTTCTCTATCAGCTCATCTGCTGTCAAGTTTTTCTGAAAAAGTTTGTTTTATTATTTACAAACAATGTAACAACACTGTCATTAAGCATTTCTATATATTCAATTTTTCTCATTCACTTAAGCTGAATAGTTTAAATGTTTCTGAAGTAGATCTACAATTAGAAAATCTTGTCAGTGTTTTAATTATGACTCAAAGATTAGAAAAAACTCATGACATTTTGTGACGATTTTAAATATTGAATCAATTAATTGTTCACTGAGTGAGTGGGAAATTGTAGTAAGGTTTAACAAATACTCACAGCATTTTCTAGGAATGTCATATTGAGGGAGGAGAATACAGAATCTATACTTGTAGAGAGAGTTTTCTGTAGGAAAGCTGTGATATCTGACATGTCATCTTCTAAACTGTCCTGTAGTTGTTTCACAGCTGAAACAAAATGTATCATTATATATAATATTTACAGATATCAAAATTAATGATGTAATGATTTTTACTTACATTTTAAATGTTAACCTCCATTTTATATATCAAAGAGATACCTTTCATTTTCTATGTCAAAATGTTATGATTTAGCCTCCATTTTATATATCAAAGGGTTATAATAATTTACCTCCATTTTAATTTTTTACCTCTATTTCATATATTTGAGAAAACCTCCATTTTATGTATCAAGGGATAACCTCTATTTTTTATATTTCAAGGGATATAATACTTATCCTCTATTTTATTCCATCAAAGTTCTGTAATGGTTTTACCTCCATTTTAAATGTTTTACCAAAGGTATAACCTCACTTTTATATTTTAAAGGATATAATGATTTAACCTCCATTTTATACATCAAAGGAATATAATGATCAACCTCCATTTTTAAATGTTAATTTCCATTTATATTTCAAAAGGATATAACCTTCCATTTTATTTATCAAAGGGTTAATATAAAGTACCTCAATTTTAAAAGGTAACCTCCATTCTATATATCAAAAGGATAATCTCCATTTTATATTTCAATGGGAAATAGTCATTTAACCTCCATTTTATATATATCAAAGGATGTAATAATCTACCACAATTTTACATTAACATAAGGTAAATAATAATTGTACTTCCATTATTTTGGGAACAATGATGAAGCCTAGCTGATTGAATGAATATCTTTTGATTACTAAAAAACATTAATTTATATATCTATTATCATTAAAAATGTTACCAGCTTCTTGTTGGTTGTATATTTCTCGAATCATATCAATAAATTCTGTTGAACCATTTGTACCCATCAAGCTGTCAAGAAGTGCCCGGGATGTCTTCATTTTGCAGTAACTCTAATGCTTCAGAAACCTGCGCTGAATAATCTGTAAATAAATATAAAAAAATATACAATGCATACAATTAAATGGTGAGTTTTTATTTACTAAGAACTATGGGAAATAATATTTTCTAAAAGACTGCATCTGTTTCAATTAAAGACTACATGTACATCTGTTCCAAAAACATGCCCATTGTGTTATAAACATGTAATAAATGTTTAAGAACAATTTAAAACTTTTTTATCCCTTATATTTTTTGTCAATAATTTAATCAGATATCAGTTTATACTTTACATTAAATTTAAAAAAAAATCATGAAGTAAGAATTCAAATTGAACACTAGTGGGGTCACAACTATGTTTCCTGATATGACACCATTTCTTGTTAGTTCCAAGAGGCCACTGACAGGTTCAAACAAGTTTAAAGCTTTAATCACAATCATGTTAAAATATACTGTCACCTTAGTGCATTAATGAGTTAACTCCTTATATAGTTTAATAGGAGTTAACCAGTTACTGGCACAAAGGTGATAATTATAAAGATTTAACTAAACCTACTTCGAAAGGTCTTGAAGTAATCCCTCAGAGTCGGATAAAGTTTCTGTTACACACTCCACAATATTTGATGATCCATCAAATACTTTAGTTAGAGATGTGGCTAATGTTTCAAAGAAACCAGTATATGTTGAAGTCCTTGCGCAAGAGAATTCTGTCTCGGTTTTTTTGTGACATCATTTCTTCAATCTGAAAATGAAATAGTTAGTGCAAATTTAGTATAAAATGAATCACAACTACTTACTTCTTTTGATTGTTTAAACATGTTTTAAGTCTATATAAATCACTTTAATATCCACTTACCATATTATTTCCATGTAATGCCCCCAGGGGCTTGCATTTTTCAAAAGGGCTGTACAATTCAATTATGAAAATCATTATTTATTAGAGGGGGTGGGGGCATTAAATTGAAACAATACAGTACTTGAATAAAAAGAATTGGTATTATATCAAAAACATATTGTTGACCCACGTGGGGCTTAAAGCCCCATAATTGACGCCAGAGACTGAAACCCTCAACACTAACTCCTCAAATCAGAATTAAATCAAAGTAAAATTTTTTTACGATACTTGATGGTTAGATGTCATGATGTTGATATCCCATTCCCAGACACACAAATTATTTCTAAAATTTATGCTAAAGAAATATAGCTGTATTGGAAGTATGGGGTCGGAATGGGGTATATAATTCAGATATTGCAAACCTTTTTCAATTCACGAATTAAACCACGATCATCAAGATATTTTATTACGTCGGTGATGTTCTTCATCTGCATCTGACACACAGCTTCATCAACACCTACATAAAATTAGTAATATCATAAATTACTGTATGAAAACCTTTAAATTTCAAAATAATCAAAAGGCATATAAATCTTGGAGACAAAAAATTTCAGTTTACTTATAATGAACATATTTCTGTAATGTATGGCAAACGTCTTTATTTTCTATTATCATTATTTTGATTTTTTTTTGTGAAATTGAAATAACGTCAATTTCTATGAAATCATCTCAAAAATTCATTAAATACTAGCATATTTATATGCCAAAATACAAAGTTTATCTAATTTATCATTAATAATCATATAAAATATATAAGGGGTGATAATTGTAAACAATACATTGTATATAAATTTTCTTATATAATCAATAAGATGTCAATTTTATGTTATTCTCTCGTTATTCTCTTGTCACATGGATATCCTTTTCTAATGCAAAGCCTACTCTATTATGCATGCTTTCAAATAAAAAACCCAGTTGATTTTTTTTAGATTTGAATTTGGGAATTCATGTCCAGACTATTAAGACTTCAGTATGAAAATACAAAAAATTTAGCAGCCAACAATAGAGCCAGGTCAGACTGCCTAACTCTATACTACTAGCAAATGCAAGTCAATATGACCTTCAGCAGGATTAACAAAACTTAATCTGAAATTTTCAAGAAAATGAACATGAACATGTATAACTTACCAATCTGTACATTCATGACAGAGTTAGAAATCATGATAAATGTATGTACAGAATCCATGTATGGTTTAACCCATGTAGTATACATCTCTGTTGACATGGTATACTGTAGTGTACGCTCGCATACTTCTTCATAACTGTAACATACATGAAAACAAAACTATTAAGTGCATATACAACTTATTGTTAGAGTTTTAATAGAATAACATAATAATAAAATACATAACAATCAAAAAAGAATAAAAGAAACTATTGTTATCAACCGAACAGTTTCAAATTCAATGTGAAAAAGTTTTTTAGTTTTTAGAAAAGACATTCCACTCCTGTGCATTAAATTCAAAACTGATCTTTTCTTCATCTTCTATTTTACCTTCCTACACAGTACACCAATAAATACAACAATGTTATGCATTTCACGATGTTTGTTTGGAACCAATTTAACTTCTGTTACAAAAGAAGAAAACTTTTCCCAGGATATATTTGAAGAAAATCAAAATAATTTTCAATGATACTTAAAGAGACATAAAATAATATAAACAAAAGGCAATAGAAGCAACATTTTTGAAGAATATTCCCAGAGTTAAAGCCTACTTGATATATTACAAACAAATATCAGTAATTCAAATACCTTTCAGTCTCAGCCGTGTTTCCCATATTTTCTAGAGCTTTCAGAATAGGTTGGAACCAATCTTCCACACCAGTTATATCTGCATTCTCCAGATCAAGTAAACTTCTTACTATACTGTCTACCAGTGTGGACATATAGGCCCAAGTCTCGTTATTTGCATTAACAGTGTCATTCATTATGATATTTTCAATCTGGAAATAACGGAAAAATAAAAAATAAAAATTATATTAACCTACTAACTCCTTTAGTTCTGTAATGAACTTGTCTAACATTGAATTTGGAACAGTCTTTTTATACTTGCTTAGGGACTTAAAGACAAAAGCAATAATTTTACGCAGAAAACAAAATACAAAATAGTGTGGTCCAGTCCATCCATTTTGTTTTACAAATATGATCCATCTTATTGGCAAATAATATTGTCAATATCATAAAAGACATGAAAATAACATAGTACAGTCAAATCTGTGGTAAAGGCCACCTCCAAATAAAGATCAAAGTGGAAAATATGCCACTTTTCAACAACCTTAAATCAAAAGAACAATATAACCTCCAATTCAAGTCCACTTGTCATTAAAGACTATGTTCGGTCTCTCCCTTGAATAACCTTTGTTTACAAGTGTGGCTATATTTATCTCAGACAGTAATATATCTTTTTTGTTTTCTTATTCCTAATACTGGTCAAGAAAACGACATAATATACATTTTTATACCATAAATCAATCACTTAAAAGTACATAAGTAAGTAGAAAAAAAAATCTTACATTTTTTATCAATTTCTCCGCATCTAATTTACTCATTATGTCATCTAAGTAAGGTTTTTGAGAAGCATTATTCCGAGCAGAGATGCTGCTGTAGCTCTGTCACGTTTATGTCGCTCGGAAAGATCAAACGTGTCCATAAATATATCCAGATTAACAAATTGTCCTCTCCCAGTCATTACTGAACATTAATGTGAATAAACTGAAAATGAAAATTTCATTGAATTTATTAGGTTGGTCTAAAATGGGCACATTTGTTTTAATGTTTAAAAAGAAAAGGTATTTAAAATTTGATATTTTATCTTTTTTTAAATAGAAAAATCTCAACCCTTTGAAATAAAATATTTTTTTTTGTTTTTTTTTTTTTTTTTTTTTTTTTTTTTATTTTTGTTTTTTTTTTTTTTTTTTTTTTAAAATAATTTTTTTTTTTTTTTTTTTTTTTTTTTTTATTTTTTAAAAATTTTTTTTTTTTTTTTTTTTTTTTCTTTTTTTTTTTTTTTTTTTTTTTTTTTTTTTTTTTTTTTTTTTTTTTTTTTTTTTTTTTGTTTTTTTTGTTTTTTGGGGGTTTTTTTTACTGGCCTTTTACATTACTCATTGAAAGTGAGACAACATCAAGTGAACAGCAGTAAATACTACATATTTCCATCATCATCATGCACTAACATTCCTGTAAAACATCATTTCAAGTTGGAATATTTCTGTCATACAAGTTAAGTGTTGATCCCAATTAGATTATGTAATAATTTTACTCCTGATCACTTTCTGTGCAATATACAATATACATAAATAAGGCAACATGATTACAACTGATAGTATGTTCATATCGGATTCATACACAGTACTGCCCTACCAACATTTCACAAATTCATTCAACTTAACAAACTTTTCCATTACAAAAACATTGTGTTATATAACAAATTATTAAAATTAAGGGGCAATATGTGCCTGTGAAAAAGATTTTGGAAAAAATAACTTTGCATACAGATGGCTGGATCTATTTTCACACTTGCAACATGTCTGTTTTAAATACTGTACTCATTTTCCTGAACATACAGATCATTTTCTTGGGTTCATTTTGTGGGGATATGTCTTTTTCAAAATCCCTTTTGCACAAGACAACTTGAAATTATTTTTACACAAACCTGTAAATTTTTCCAGCATAGTGTTGATATACTCTTGAACTTCAATAATAATCAGCAGCATGGCCTTGAAGTCTTTCAGTATATCCTCTTCCGCAATCATTTCCAGCACATACATCAGCCTACAATGTAAATAATTTCATGCTCAGTTTTTATGTATGACCCTTAAATTTTAAATATCATAAAAGCTCCCTTTTTTTGGAATTCAGAGGTCCCTAAATTGTTATTTTAAAAATTTTAAATTTATCAAAATTTGGAAAAATAAAGTTGTAAAATTTAAACAGCCAACCATGTCTAGACAGATTAAAGGGGAAGTAAAGCTGGGGGGGCCCTTTAATACTTTTTGTGTAAAAAGACATTTTTGGTTTTTTTGGTTAATTTCTACCCTATAGATGACACTTTTGTTTTTTCATTTTAATAAACCCTCCTAAAATACAAAAAAACTTTAGAAATTTTTACCCCTTATTTTCTCAATGGTTTCTGCTTTTAATATTAAGGAAAAATGTAAGTCCTCAACTCTTAGCCTGCTGGCAGCACATAAATATACTCATGCGAACTGTGCAGACCACAGTTTGAAATAAGATCCTGTTCTGCACTGTTCCCTATTCAGTCAGTATATATTATGAAATTTTCCCTAAAAATGATAAATGATTTTGGTCCAGAATGAGAGATGGCCAAGTTCATTTAAAGTATTTCCCATAGCAAGGGTTAAAACTGATAATATGGTAGCATAATCGCAAGAAGAAAAAAAATCTGAATCATAACCTACCCTTCAAGACCAGTGTCTTGACTATTTCGTAGCCAGTCTTCTGTTGTGGAGCTGCTGTTCAATAGCCCATCCAGGTTCAATTTCTCCAACATTTCTAAAACAGTTTTACTGGTCACTTTGTCATCATGTTCCGCCATTTTATCTTCTACAGCCTGGTTAAACTGAAACATACAGATGATCAATTAGAAACTAATTAAACCTCACTTTGCTATGTTTGTGTAATGGACTTGCCCTGCTTTGAAATTGGAACAGCCCATTTTTACTGCGAGGGGTTTTCATTTCAAAATGTTAAAGTTCTGTAGCAGACATCATGCTGCATCCTGAATTTCATGCTAGTCCATCTCTATACTGCTGGTATAGGTAAAATAATAAATTACAGCTAATATTCACATTAATTAAAGTAAGTGTACTTAGACAAAATTATTCCATAATTTTATTTGCTGTCCGGTTAGCTCAATAGGTAGAGCTTTGAACTGTGAATCTGGCAACCTGGGTTTGATTAGAAGAGTAAACTTCCACCACCATCACCATATAAAACAGGTCAGATGTTCTGCGAATTCAACAATAACACTAACAAAATAAACAAGAGCTGTCGGTAGGACAGCACGCTCGACTATTCTAAGTGTTTGATAGTAAAAGAGCCTGGATAATGTTAAATTTTTTAAGTTCACAAAAGGGCTAATTTTTTTTTTATAAATTCATGTTATAGGCCTTAGAGAGAGTCTAATTATACAGTATTGGCTTGAGTATTGAGTATAATAATACTAATTACCTATGAATACATAAATTTGACAGAAAAGGTACAAAGGCTTGTTATTAAGATGTTTTATCAAGTAAATCACTGCTAAATTATTATGAATGCATAAAATTGTCCCAAAAAAGGCACAAACCCTTCAGTAGTTATTGAGATAACAGCTTACAAGCAAAACTTTACCATGAATTTCTAAGTTGAAAAAGGGGAGAAAAATCAGCCTAAATGCAAGATAGAATTATGGATTTTTGTCAGTGACCTACAATTATGACCCTAAATGCATATGTGAAGTTTTAAATAAATATCTTTAATAGTTATTGAGATATGTAAAATTTGCATGTAAACATTAACCAAGAGACTAAGTAGAAAACGGGATATGAATCAGCCTTAATGCAAGATAGAGTTGTGGAACTTGGTCAGTGACATATAATTATGACCCTCCAATTATGACCCTTAGTGCATGTGTAAAGTTTCAAGTAAATATCTTTGAAGAACTTTAACCTTTAACCAAAATTTCTAAGTTTCAAAGGGGCAAATAATTCTGCAACTATTGCAGGCAGAGTTATGCAATTTTGCAAACTGATGTACATTGTTACTATAAAAAAGTATTTTAAATTTCAATTGAATATCTCAAGCAATAATTGAGATATTTGACTTTACAAAAGAACTTTAACCAAAATTTCTAAGTTCCAAAGGGGCATAATTCTGTCAATATTGTAGGCAGAGTTATCCAACTTGTCAATCTGATGTACCTTGTTACTGTAAATAAGTATTGTAAGTTTCAATTGAATATCTCAAGCAATAATTGAGATATTTGACTTTACAAAAAACTTTAACCAAAATTTCTAAGTTAAAAAGGGGCATAATTCTGTCAATATTGTAGGCAGAGTTATCCAACTTGTCAATCTGATGTACCTTGTTACTTTGGATAAGTATTGTAAGTTTCAATTGAATATCTCAAGCAATAATTGAGATATTTGACTTTACAAAAAACTTTAACCAAAATTTCTAAGTTAAAAAGGGGCATAATTCTGTCAATATTGTAGGCAGAGTTATCCAACTTGTCAATCTGATGTACCTTGTTACTATAAATAAGTATTGTAAGTTTCAATTGAATATCTCAAGTAATAATTGAGATATTTGACTTTACAAAAAACTTTAACCAACGCAGACGCCGACGCGGACGCTGACGCCGACGCCGACGCCGACGCCGGGGCGACTACAATAGCTCTCATATTCTTCGAATAGTCGAGCTAATAAACTGAACTTCTATTTTTACAGCCGTATCATAAAAATCTAGTATTCAAAATCCGTTATAATACTACATAACAAAAGATGATTAAAAATTTGCCTTGTTAGAATGTAGGAACTATATTATTAATAAAATTCAGTCATTTTCAACAAGTGTCAGCCATGTTTTCCACTCCTATATGTTATCGTATTTGATTAATTAATTATGTTTGAAATAACAAAAGTATGTTTACCATCATTTGAACTTTATAGAGGTCTGATTCAGAATAGTAATTATTTCTCAATGTATTGTTCCATTCTGCCATATCTACGTCACATAACTTCCAGATATATCCTGGATCACCATTAAACATCCCGTATATATATCTGTTCATATATTCTTCTACCTTTTCATTCTCGCCACACACCAGTGATTTTAGAATACTTTCTCTTGTGGGTGGATCCTCGTCCTAATACAAACAGAACAAAAAGGTTAATAGACCAGAACAGAACAAAATTTAATGTCAGTCATTTATTGAGATAATTTAATGTCAATCATCTATGGAGATAATTTAATGTCAGTCATCTATGGAGATACTTTAATGTCAGTCATCTATGGAGATAATTTAATGTCAATCATCTGTTGAGATAATCTAATGTCAGTCATCTATGGAGATAATTTAATGTCAATCATCTATGGAGATAATTTAATGTCAGTCATCTATGGAGATACTTTAACGTCAGTCATCTATGGAGATAATTTAATGTCAATCATCTATGAAGATAATCAAATGTACGTCACCTATGGAGATAATTTAATGTTGGTCATCTATGGAGATACTTTAATGTCTGTCATCTATGGTCAATCATCTATAGAGATAATTTTATATCAGTCATCTATGTAGATAATCTAATGTCAATCATCTATGGAGATAATTCAATGTCAGTTGTCTGTGGAGATAATTTAATATCAATCATCTTTGGAGATAATTTATATCAATCATCTATGGAGATAATTGGATGTCAGTCATCTATGGAGATAATTCAATGTCAATTATCTATGGAGATAATTTAATGTCAATAATTTATGTCGGTTATCTATAAAGATACTTAAATGTCCATTATCTATGGAGATAATTTAATGTCAGTCATCTATGGAGATAATTTAATGTCAGTCATTTATTGAGATAATTTAATATCAATTATCAATGGAGATAATTTGATGTCAGTCATCTATGGAGATACTTAAATGTCAGTCATCTATGGAGATAATCTAATTTTAGTCATCTATGGAGATAATTCAATGTCAATTATCTATGAAGATAATTTAATGTCAATAATTTATGGAGATAATTTAATGTCGGTTATCTATAAAGATACTTAAATGTCCATTATCTATGGTGATAATTTAATGTCAGTCATCTATGGAGATAATTTAATGTCAGTCATCTATGGAGATAATTTAATGCCAATCGTCTATGGAGATAATTCAATGTCAATCATGTAAAGTGATAATCTAATCTTAACCATGTAGAAAGGTCATTCATGCAAGTGAAAATAAAGATAATCTAAGATTTCACAAAGGAAAAAACATTTACAAAAAAGATTTAGGTCACTGAATTTCTTTAAAGACAAGTTATTTCCTCAAATCAATTAAAATGGTTAATCAAATAGGATATAAATCAAACTCATTTGCTAATTTTAATATATTTCCATTACTTATTATTTATTATTAAATGAATTGTTGATAAAGCACTCTTAACATATGTATACAAGTGCTTTAAAACAGGACTACCATTTGTCACCTTAGTGCAGTAACTGAATAAGTTCTTCTAAATCTAATAGGAGTTAATCAGTTATACTTACTGGTGAATAGTAGGCATTGAAGAATTCAGAGAGAACTTTCAACCAGTCTTCAACAGATACGATTGACTCAATCAATGATCCGAGTTTCTCTGGATTGCTGTAGAGTTCCTCAATATCATTACCTGATTCAAATAAAAAACTTGTGTGATATTTTTTTTTTGGGGGGGGGGGGGGTTTACGTCACATGGACACAGTATAGGTCATATCACGACGTTCCAGCTTTACTGGTGGAGGAAGACATCAGGTGCCCTTCCTAGCATTATTTCAGGCACGAACAGGCACCTAAGTAGAACCACCGACGTTCTGTTAGCTAGCTGGATAGCTTCCTCACATGTGAGAATCCAAAGTCCTTGTCAAGATTCGAACCCACAGCGGTGAGGGGCAAGTGGTTTGAAGTCAACGACCTTAACCACTTGGCCACAGACGCCCCTTGTGTGATATACATGTAGCAATATACAATATGTACCAAAATAAGATATTCCACAAAACAATTTAAAATATATCAGTATATGAGTTCATGGTTCATGAAACAGCTTTGTTTGGTAATCTTTATATGATTGTATAATTTGAATTTGGAATCCCATCTGAGAACCTTAGAAATGATTAGCTATTTCTTTTAAATTAACAAATAACATTTACAGTAAACTTCACTTACAGCGAACATGGTTATAGCGAACTTCCGGTTATAAGGAACAATTTTTTTCGGCCCGAATTTTGCCTTTCTTTATTTAATATAAAAATATACGGTTTCAGCGAACACGGTTATAAGGAATTATCGCTTATAAGGAACTCATTTCTTAGTCCCAATTTAGTTAAAGTCCAGAAAATAACACTTTTATAACGAACTCTCAATATCGGCTATCCGTAAAAAGATCCCGCATTTTTAACTTTCGTTTTCATAATGGCACGGATAAAAACTCGGCCAGATGTACCGTGTTTTGTTGTTTGTACTTCTATGTAGATGTGAAAATGAATTTTTATAGCAGTACGTAATAGTTTTCTATTTAGGATATTTAAGCACGAGTTCTTGTTACCCGGAAAAAACGGTTATTCCTTTTATTCTATTGTTTCTTTTCTTAAATAGTTTCGCTCAAGTAAAATAATTATTATCATTTATAATCACACAAAGTACGATTGATTGAAATGAAAAGAAATCTATATCTTTTATAGTAAAAGTCACGCTTAAAATAAAATAGAAGATATTCAATATAAAAGGAAGAAAAAAAGTAAATCTATTCTTAACCATGGAACGAAAACGAAAAGCACTGAGTTTAAAATTTAAAAAAAGGACGCTCTCGGGTATTGTGTCTAAAAAAGATATAAGTGACTATTTTTTCTAAATAACAAATGTTTTTCAAAATGGAGGACGATGGTAAACAATCAGTTCGTTATATGCAAATCTGTTCGTTATAAAAACTCCTTATAGAAGGAACAAATTCGCTATATGCTTACAAGGAACTCCGGATATAAGGAACAGATTTCAAATGTCCCAATGAGTTCGTTATAAGCGGAGTTTACTGTATTAATTTTGACACATATCCATTTGAAATTAACCAATGACATTTGCTTATTTTGACAATCTATTTGAAAATAACTAGTGACATTTTTTTAACAATACATTTGAAATTAACCAATTACTGGGAAGATGACACATTTGTATGAATAAGATTTTCAGTATTCAGTTTAACAACAGGTTAACAAATTTGAGGCAAAATCCAAAACAATATAGAGTGATATCATCTTTTAACTCTCCATCAAACATGAAAATGGTCATTATCTTTTCAAGGAATATCTTTTCTTTAAAATTAGATTAAACTGTTGAAGACAAATTGACAACACTTTTAATTTTCAACACATTTGGTCTTGTCCAGACTGTCAGATGGAAAAAGCCCCTTTTAAAATATTTAGGGGGGGGGAAGGGTAACTTACTTTTCATTGTTTTAAAAAAGGCTAAAAAAGTCTGTTTAAACCCTTTGGTCAAAATTTTTCATTTCACTTTCCAAAAAGGATTTATATTGCCCTTTGATTACTTTCCCCTTAAAAAACAAAAAATAAAAAAAAAAATTTGTTATTTATAAAAATTTACAAAATACAACAAAATTACCGAAATTGTAGATAAAAAATTAAATATTTTTAACAAAAGATGGATTTTACCATTCCAAATTAAAATTAAAACCTTTCCCCCAAACCAAAGTTTTCATTTAAATTGATTGATATAAAAAGCAAAAAAAAACCAAAGTAGTATTTTGAAATTGGGAATACCAAAAAGCTTTAAACCCGGTAACTTAAAATTTTTTCCCCCAAAACAAAAGACACAAAAAATAGCTAATTTTTTGACCTTTTGTATAACTTTTTTAACCCAAACTTTAACCCGTTTCATCAAAAATAAAAAGCCTTTGAAAAATAAAAAAAAGATAGCTTTTTAGGGATAAAGTCCTTTAAAAAAACCTATTAATGAATTTCAAATGCAAAACTAAGAAAAGGAATTTAAATCAAGAATGTAAAGAAATACCTAAGAAATCTTTACTGTGGCTATAATATTTGTTTTATTTGAAACAATGTTATGTTTATCAAGCAGAAATTATATAAATTTAAAAATAGATAAGCTGACTTACACACTGAGGATTGCCTTGTAAAGAGAGTCAAAGAATTGAGAGAGATGCCCCTCCCAGTCTGTCCATTGGCTGAAGGGGACTGTTTTCTGGCAGGTGGGTCACTTAATACAATCAGAGTGGTCAAAATAGTTCTAGGAGAACATATTTGAACAAACTTGCTCATGCTCACTTGCGAGGGAGGCATGCAGTGAGTACAGGCGCGATGGCATATGAAGCATGCCTGGTGTTTGTAGCATTCCATATTTCGCAAAGCGTGTAAATCAACTTTATACATGGTTGATTATAATAGGCACTTTTTTCATTATCCCATTCTTATTTCTCATCATTCTGATTAAGACAGATTTTCAATCATAAGAATTTTATTATAATTGAATATTAATATTAAGCAGAAATGTAGAATTTCACATTATTACAAATACTTAATAAATTTTAAATATAAAATGTTTTTGGTTTTCAAATATACATTGTACAGTGTATAAAGTATTTGGCCAAGAAATCTAATAAAAGTAGTAACAGTTTATTATTCTTTGAAATAATAACCGTTATTCGCAAAGATATGGTACTTTCTCAATTGTTACAAAGAGGAAAACTTGGATGTCCTTTATAACTTTTATGTTTGTCAGAAATGAATAATAATAAATAAATAAATAAATAATTAATATATTGATATCCCTGTAATGAACAAAGAACTGACCCAAATTAAAGTAAGGTCAATCTATTTCACAAAATCAGTTGAGTAAAGGTTACCTTTTCTTCAAACATTTCTAGATTAACTTGATCTTGTATGGATTTCTGACGTCATTGTCTCTTGTAAATCTATGGCAGATAACTTCTTCCAAGGGCTATATGATGCTTTTTACTCTAGCTGTATCATTAGCGGAGATATATTAGGCTTGCAACATTGTCTCTTCTCACACATGTCCATCAACATATCAGGTGGTCCCAGAAGTAGATTATATAGCTGAAAATGGAATAAAAAAAATCATTACTGATTAAGCTGATTGCAATAATTTTAGTCTACTGCTCAACTTGGGGCAAGGGGACATGAGACCTGTTTACTTTTTTTATTACCTCTCATGAACTGACTCCATATGAATTTTTTCAAGTTAAAAAGGGTCACTGTATTATGTTTATTAGTAAAAGTACAACTTAAAACCTATGCATACCTTTTCCTGGTTAACAGTTTTATTCAAGGCTTCATAATCTGTATTGGAGATATCTCTTAGGTTAGCCAAAGCTTCCATAAAGCGGATAATTTCACTGGAGTTCTTTGACAAACTGCCAACAGTAAAATTATCTGAAAAAAAACAACAACAACAACAAATAAATTAAACCATGTTTATCATGACTATCACTAAAGTTGAAACATTTACTGTACTAACTGTATTTACTTACTTAGTATACCTTTTCAATTCTTACACCCTGACTTATACGTGGGCCACAAAAAGAATATTTAAAGTGTACAATATAGGCCCTGTCTTATAGACGTGTTAATACGGTACCCACCGCAGCTTTGGTAATGAAGTTATTGCCATACTTCACGCACTGTTCTGGTTTTTGAAATGTTAATTGTGGTAAACATGAAGTTTCAGAATGCGTATGATACAGAAAATAGAAAGCTATTTATTGTTTAGTTCTTTAATGCAACTCTTGATATTTGTGTGATGCCGCTTGTCCTGCAGTTTGTTTGGGACATATGCCATTGTAGATTAAGGGGTTTCGTGTAAGACATGATTTAATACTGAGCAGCCAATTTGTAGAATAGTGATGTATAGATCTGCGTCTTTCGTCGTATTTACTTGTTATCCAATAATTCTGTAGCTATCAAATGCAGTGGGTTCATAAGATAAATTACTCTTTGATACATTCCATAATGCCCTGTCAACTATTTATAATCTATAGAAAAAGATCTATTGTGTTTGAAAATGTTCTCTGTTTGCATCAGAATCCAGCTCGATCATCTGCATTTATTCTGATAGCCATTGGGGATTAACTTGAAAGATAATAGAAGTATGCGTCATTTTTAAATGTCACTAATGAATTTTTAGGATAATCTAATGGACACATGTCTTTATCACAGTAATCACCTGCATCTATATTACTTCAATAATGCTTCTGCTAAAATAATTTATTTGTATCTCATGTCGGTGTCCATGATAATAATGGAGATCTCTCATATATGCAATAGTTTTTTGTGAATGCAAAAAAAAGTCGAATATGAGGCCTATACTAATTATGAAATATGGTTTAGCTGTTTCCCAAGTTTATTTGTGATTTGCGGACTTGTATTATTTGAAATCAAAATTTATTCATAAAGTCAGGCTTACTATAGAGACTATTAGGTCCCACATAAGAGGTTCAGACCAAGCAAAGGTTGTAAGAATCAAATTATAGTCCTAGATCAAACAGTCCCTTAATCATTTCATAATAATGTTAGTTTTTACCAAGTTATTTTAGTTTGATTGTGTTGGAAGCTATAAGCTTATTCAAACACTCCCAAATCTGTTCCTAGAACCAACCAGTATTAAGAAATGAGTGTAAACTTTCTTCCTCATGGATACAATGGCTTGCCCTAGACAGGGTTTGAACCAAGATTGCCAGATTACTCATCTGATGCATTAACCAGGTAGCCATGCCGCCATAATTATGTTAGCTAGATATTCAACGTATAAAACAATTAAATATGTTCTGGCAGTATTTTTGTGTGTCAAGATGTGTTATTTTATACATTTAAAAGAATAGATAGATATATTCCTGACATGATATATAGATTGTAAGATAGAGATTGTAAGATCTTCTGCTCAGCCTTATTGTAATTATTCCAGTGACCCCAGCGTAAATAAACCAAATAAACAGTTACATTAAAAGAGCAATATATTAGTCACATAACTTTGTAAACATCTAATGAAACATATATCATGGTTCTTACATTGATTTAACAATATCGGTATATTGACTTCCGAGGAAGTTCTCCATTCCCTTTAACAATGTTTCCAGTGTTGGATCACTCGTCTCAACAGCCTGCTCTCCATTAAGGAGGTCAAGAAGTTGGAACCAGTATGTCGAATTTTCCCATCGTGAAGGCACATCAAGATTTGGCGGACTTTCCAACCATTTACCAAGTTTCTCAGTCAGCTGACTGTTACGTTCTGTGATCAGTCTCCAGTTGAGTGTAGTATTTGTTTCCATCTAAACGTGGTAATATACAACAGTAAAATATAAGTTGATGAAGTGGTCATACTATGATAGTAGTCAAAATCATTTTACTTTTTGAATAGGATATCCTCAATGAGGATAAATACATGTGGGAGGGTTCGGTAATTTATTGATATTTATAAAATCAACACTGATTGACACTGAGTCTTGTGCATAGCCTAAATACAAAAAAAACAACTTGAAACTATACATGTACATAGTTACTATATGTACCAGTATCTGGTCATGTAGAAATTGTACATTTTTTAAAAATATATTACTTTGACTAATATGCAAGCTGTACATTTCTTATTTTTTTGCTTTTTGATGCGGTAAACTATGAATTCTAACACGATCCACATTTTTTCCTATTGAACATAGAAGAACCAAAAGTGTGTGTTATTATGCTATAAAATCACTGTTTGACTTTCTATATTTAGACATGTGATGTAATCATTATACATGTGACGTTACCACTAAAAATGTGACGCGCTGAAAATAAGTACGGAAACAAATCAGGCGCAATTTAGCTAATTATTATGTACGGCAGCATTTATTTGTTGATGTTGTGTTAGAATCGAAATAATATATCCAAATCGGTGATTTTATTGCTTGATAACATCACTGTTTGTCGTTCGGATGCCCATCATTATATCACTCGGGCTACGCCCTCGTGATATAATTCCCCGAATCCAAACAGTGATGTTATTGAGCAATAAAATCACAGTTTGGGATATATTATTTCTTAAATATATCATTAAGATATAAGTCATATCACACTGTTTGAAACTGTGTAAAACCTAAAATAAACAAGCAATTATCATAGTATTGCAAGCAATCCATAAGTCCCCTACCGGTAAGATCCCAAGCAACATTCTGAAGGGCCATTGGCCATTCACTTAGGTTCCTATTTTAAGTAAATTTGTTGAAAAAGTTCTTTAAAAGTGATCACAGTAAACAGTTTTTATGTACAGACAAACGGACTGAAGGACACTCTAAAGTTATTTTTTAAACATCCCTGTTATCAAAATATAACATTTTTAAAATCCTATCATGATTGAAGAAGTTGGAGTAAAAATTACCAATTTCTCAAAAAAAAGTCTGAGTTCAAAAGGGGCATAATTCTGGAAATAGTCTTGCTAGAGTATTGAACACTCACAAATGTTGAGTGACAATAAGAAACATTTATATGAAGTTTGAGGTAGATACATTCAGAAAAAGAAGTTATTAAAAAAACAATGTTTTTTTCATGAAAATTTTAAGTTCAAGGGAGGTAATTCTGATAAATTTTGTGCTAGAGTTGTAAACCTTGTCACATATGATGTGGTTGATGACAAGCAACTTATATTTAAAGTTTGAAGAAAATATCTTAAGAAATAAAGAACTTATAGTGAAAAAAATTAAAAACTAGAATCAGAAATCTTGAAATTCAGTCTATTTGTTGCCATAGCAACCAGAATTTTCAACATAGGAAGATAAAAAAAGGATGTGCATAATTTCCATACTGCCATCTACCCATATGTCAAGTTTCATAAACATATTTTCAGTACTTTTTGTGTTATCACTGGATCCAGGTTATGTGTAAAATTTGCCATATTTTCAGTCTATTTGTTGCCATAGCAACCAGAATTTTCAACATAGGAAGAAAAGAAAAAGACGTGCATAATCTACATACTGCCATCTATCCATATATCAAGTTTCATAAAAATATTTTCAGTACTTTTTGCGTTATCGCGGGATCCAGGTTATGTGTAAAATTTGCCATATTTTCAGTCTATTTGTTGCCATAGCAACCAGAATTTTCAACATAGGAAGAAAAGAAAAAGACGTGCATAATCTCCATACTGCCATCTATCCATATATCAAGTTTCATTAAAATATTTTCAGTACTTTTTGCGTTATCGCGGGATCCAGTTTTGTGGACGGACGGACTGACGGACGGACAGACGGACTGACGGACAGACGGACTGACGGACAGACGGACGGAGGGTAAACCTAAAGTCCCCTCCGGTAAACCGGTAGGGGACTAATTAGTTACCATCCTTTACATTGAAAGAAAAAGCAAACAATAATGCATACAGGCTTTTTATCATAACATCTAAGGAAACATCATATTAATTAATGTCATTTGGCATCATGTTTAGTAATGTCTGACTAGTTTCAATGCAAAAACTATAGAAAACTAAAGTATAAAATGTAAAATATGAAAAAGAATTTCATCTCTTAAATGAGAATTATTTTTTATCTTTTCTTACATATTTTGTGCTCTTGAAAATATTTGAGAAATTCTTATATTCTCCTGAAATATTTATTATCATTTTTACAAAAAAACAAACAAATATCCTCTCTTTTTATACAAGAATATATCAGGAAATACAAATGAAATATTAATATAAATAAAATCACACAATTATGATGTTCAATTTAATCTTACCATGTCAAGTATATCTTGAATAAAGAAAGCATCTACAAATTCTGTCATCAGAATTTCAAAGTCAGTGTCGCAGAATCTGTCTTTGACATCATTCATGTTGGCAGTTACACTTGGAGGAATTGTCATATATTTTGTGATATCTGAATCGCAGATATCTATAAGAACAGCTGTGGCATTTGTGTTCTCTAACAGCGATGTAAACTGGAAATATATTAAAGAAGATAGTTTGCTATATTTTACACACATTTTACAATACATGTAATTATATTTCAAAAGTTCACAGAGCAGTAATTTTTATTTATATTAGTTATAGCATCAGCAATTTCTGAAGATGTCGCCTTTAGAAGTAATAGAGCTCAACATATAAAATTCTCTCACAAAATAATCATTTATGGTCCAATATATCAACATCATAAATGTGTGTTTCACAATTCAATTGAACTGGCCGTTTTCATTAATAACGCCATAGCTTTGTGTGTTACTAAAAAAACTAATACATGCATTGGTATAAATCACATGTCAAAAAATAAATGAAAATGTTTTCATACTTTTGGAGTGTTGATAGATGCCATCAAGGTTTCCATGACACCAGGCTCCTGTAGCATCATCACTAGGCGTTGTATCTGACCAAAACCATGGAAGAAATCCTCCAGTTTGTAGGAATCCCCTGAAAACAAATATAAAACTTTTAAAGCCATAAAAATCTCATCAAATAAATATAAAATTTTACCATTACATTTTATCTAACTTTTATGCACAACACAGTGAGTAGGGTTTTAAGTTACACTATTACTACTAAGGTAATATGGCGACATTTTGATTTTACTTGTAAATGATGATCCAAGGTGCCATATCATGCATTATTTCAGGTACCCGTCAAAGCAGGTACCTTCTTAAACATTCAAACTTTATGTTATGTAC